TTTCAGATTGTAGCTAGGCCGGTCTACCTGTGATTTTTGCATTGTAGCCAGGCAGCGATCAGAATGCAAGCTACAATCAAATTGATTGCAGAATCGCTATCTACAATACTAGAAACTACAATACAATTGTGCATGTGTAGCGGGCAGCCGTACAACAGCGTGCAAAATAGGGATGGGGCAGGCGGCAGAAAGGAGGTGAAAAGAGGCAAACGGAGGAAAGAGATCAGCAGTAGGCGTAAGATTGGTAGCAACAAAGGTGGCGTCGTTGACTCACCAAGATTATGAGAGACAAGGACGGATATCCCAGGGTGCAACGGCTGCAGGGAATGATTGGCGGTTGCAGCAGTGGTCAAAGGAAGCGCGTCAGCAGTGCGGCAGATGCAACTTGTTTGACTCATCTGATGATGTCCTGATGGCTTGACAGAAGGTGTGGAGGCGGGGCTTGCTCCTTGTCACTGTTGTTGTGTGCAAGGTGGGAGCAAGTTGGCGTTGGAGGTAGCGGTAATTTGGTGTCAATGGTGGCGGCAAGTTGGCATTGATGGTGGCGGCAAGATGGCATTGATGGCGGCGGCAAGTTGGCGTTGATGTTGTGGCAAGTTGGGTTTGATGGTGGTGGCAAGTCATGAGTCGGCATCGGCGGTGGTGGTGGTGGCAAGCCAACAATGGGGGTGGTGTTGGCGCAGAGCGCAGCCAGGAGGGTAACGAGGCGGCTGGGGCGGATCATAGCAAGCAGCAAAAGTAATTCCCGATTTTTCCTATCGCACAGGCTGTGCAATCCAGGATTTGAGAGTCGTTATACACGTGCGATCTGAAATCCTGGCCACTATAAGTGTATTTCAGATCGCAGGCAGAAAAAAATCCAGGATCGCAAATCGCAGCTGATCGCACGCCTGTTGCAATCTGAGAGATCGCACAAGCTGGCTGCAGCTGGATTTTCAAATCGTTGTACATGTGCGGTTTTTTTTGACCAGATCCTGCTGCTAGCTAAGGATGCCAGCAGGTGGTGTCAATATTGGTCAGACGGCGGCGGCGGGCAAGGGTCAGTGGTGGTGGTTGGGAGGAAGGGAGCGACAGCAGAGAGGGGCGGGTCTTTATACCAAGGCAGGCGGGCAGGCAAGGCCACACTGGCGGGCAAGGCTCAGCTGGTGGGCGGGCAAGGCTCAGCGGGCAGGCGGGTGGTCATGCAGGCAGTGAGCCTGCATGAGCACACACGCACGCCAGCCAGCAAGCCTGCGTGAGCACGCATGCAGGCGACATGGTCTGGCCTCCTCTTTTTTGCGCACGCGCAAGCTTAGTCAGCCGCGCCAGCCAGCCGGCCCACCCGCCCAAGCCTGCCAGCCAGGTGTGCTAGCTGACAGGCAGGCAAAAGTGAGATGGAGTGAAGTGATGGATGGAAGGCAGGAGGCGCGCGCCTGTGGCAGCGCAGAAAATAGGGCGCGCGCGCCGGCTGGGAAAAGCCAGCGCGCAACACCAGGCAGCTTGACTGCTTGCTGCAACAGGCAGGGCGGAAACGGAGGAAGCGCCGTCAATCATCGGAATCATCGGAGACAGCTCTCTGAGGATTCCGATGATTGACGCCATTGACTGTGCAGAGGCAAGGTGGGGAGGTAGCAAGGCAGGCCAGCAGGCAGGCAGGTGGTGCTACAATCTCGGATCGTAGGTGGGCAAGGGTCCAGATTTTGGATCGTAGCTAGTCGTAGCTAGGCTGCACATCAAAAAATCGTATTTAGGGATCAATTCCCAATTTCCTTCCGATTGTAGCCTGCCTACAACCTAAATCAGGCTCGACCCTGCTGCTAGCTATGAGGGGGCACGGGTGATGATGTGCAGCAGGAAGGAGAGCAAGGGCAGGTTGGTCAAGTCAGATGTTGCAGGTGCCTGCTGATTGGGGGCAATTCATGATTGTGACTCACCGCAGGAGCAACGGCGGGCTTGCTGATACATGTCAATGTGTTGTTGAGGACCAAGATGATGCCGTCTTTGGTGTGCTGGTGCTGCAAGTTGGCAGGGGTGGTGTTGATGGCGCACCCAGGTCAGCATCATCTCATGCACGGCTGGAAGTAGCAACTTATACATAAGAGGCACGAGCCCGGCGTTCCGTGAATTGCAAGTACAGAAGCTCGTCTAAGTCTGAGGCCCAGATCTGCTGCCAGTCATGCTCTCCCGCTGTGAAACTGCCCACCAGCCAGCCCTGCTTCTTCTTGTGCAGATTTGGCCCACCAAATGGCCTTTGTTGAACCGACTGTCGTTCTCGGAACGCCAGGAACCGACTGTCGTTCTCGGAACGCCAGGCACAATGACGAAGGAAATGTGTTCATAGACCTATAAGGCATGGGGTCATTTTGATTGTGCATGCCGCCGCCAAGGGTGAGCTGCATGACCCCCGCACAGGCGAAAGCCCGAGGTGGGCAAGTAGAATGTGTCAGGACAGAGGCCACGGGTGGTAGTAGCTGCCACAAACCTGATGGCTCGATCGATGAATGGCCGCTGGCCGACGCGTCTCATGGGCGAGGGTGGCTGATGGGACGCGAGAGATTGGGAGAAAGGCAGACCGCGACAGCCACAGTGTTGAGGGAAGCAAAGACAGTCGCAAAAGTACAAGTGGAGTGGGGACCAATGACACCGTGTGGCACCACAGACTACTTCAGCTTCTTCTTGGGACGGAGCTGCGACGAGTGGCCGCACTTTCGCTTGCGGCAGTTGGTCGCGCGAGGAGGGAGGCGGGCGTAGCACTTGCGGCAGATCTGCTTGTCGCAGTTGTACTTGCTCGCGAGGACCTTGAGCGAGGGCTCGATGATACCGCCACGGAGGCTGCGAGAGCGCGGTAATAAAGATAGACCGAGGGAAAGATTGGGACGGTCAGTCGATGTCGATGACAATCGTGAGGCAATGTGAGTGAGAGCCCAGCTCTCAGCGTGGCGCGGTCATAGGGCCGCCCCGGAGGACTGCCCCTCGCTGATCGTAAAAGTGCTGCAAAAGCGCTCGACAGCGACCGTCAGGCCTGTCGTGTCGACCTGACTGCGTCCCGAGTGCGATAGAGCCAAGCCGAGGGCCGGGCGATCTCGAGCTTGGACGACGTCCGTCACGGTCCCTCAACAGGGACCCGACCGTTATGCTGATCGTGCCATGCTTGACCAAGAAGGTGTCTTGCATGCGAAGTGTTGGACTGCGGCGCTCCGCCGGCCCGTCGTACTTGACCGTTCGAGAAGAAGACTCACCGGAGGACGAGGTGCAGGGTCGACTCCTTCTGAATGTTGTAGTCCGAGAGGGTGCGGCCATCCTCGAGCTGCTTGCCAGCAAAGATGAGGCGCTGCTGGTCCGGAGGAATTCCCTCCTTGTCCTGGATCTTGGCCTTGACATTGTCGATCGTGTCCGAAGACTCGACCTCAAGGGTGATGGTCTTACCTGCAGGCGTCGAGATATGGGCCAGAGGCAGTCGTGAGCATAACATGTATCTGGATGGCAGACCGACATTCCCTCCAATGCCGTCCTCCCACAGCTGCGTGTCGGCCGAAATAGCCTCCAGCGGCGAAGTTAGAGCTTCGTGGTCCTGCCTTCCACCTCCCGAGCCATCGCAGGCCAGCCATCGTAGGCCAGCCATCGTAGGCCAGCCAAGTTCCCGGCCGGCCTGACTCCCGCCCGAACAGCGAAACACCCACCCGTCAGGGTCTTGACGAAAATCTGCATCTGTGGTTAGTTGTCGATGACGGCGGCGGTGACGGAGTGAGCCAAGTAGAGTGGATGTGGGGACGGGGAGCGCAAAGTCGACCGAGTCAGTGAAAAGGTCGGAGATTCGGGTAGTTCGAACGAGGCCGGTTGGTTGGCGAGAGCTGAACGCGTCCGTGTCGTCGGCTCGTCGGCTCATCGGAGGTGCTGGATCAAGGTCGGGACGAATGGCGATCGTTTCTGTGCATATGGTGGCTCGAGGTGGCGATGCCTGCAGCAGAGGTCGGAGTCGATTGGCGTGTGTCTGAGGCCCCGCGGTTGTGCTGGTTCGGTAGCCGCAAGAGCCTTTCCGGGCGAGCGGCGCGATGTCGAGTATGGGTGTACGTCTCCTATGAAGCAGCCGGTTCCGTGGACGACACTTACCTTGTCTTGATGGTGAGGGGATGGTTGGACGATATCCGGGATCGTTGGCGAGAAGGGAGAAGGTCGACGGTCACCACGCCAGGCGACCGGGCCCGCGCCGCCTCGCCCTCGAACGCCCGCACCGGTCAGTGCCTGCCTGGCCCGCCAGCCCCAAGGGTGAGGCGGTCAGACTATTGGGCGGACTGCAGCCAGGCGGGCGCAGAGCCAATTTCGGGCGCGCGTAGTTCGGCACCGCAATCAGACCAAAGAGCTTTAAAAGTTCGCACGATGATCACGTGCACTCAGCTTTCCTGTCGCCATCGACAACCCCTAAGATCAGCGTCGCACAAGTGCGAGCGGTATAGCTCGCTCTAGCGATACATCTGCTGGCTGTATGCGCCGCGCACATGCTGCCGGCTGCGGTGGAAGGCATCCTGAGAATGGTTTGGAGAGAACCGGATGGGATCCCAGCCAAGCTCGGCCGATTGTTTCTCTTCGGATCCGTCTAGCCCTTGCGGATCCGACCCCGATCTTGTTCAACAAAATTGATCGCCGATACGGGTCAATGCATGTGGAGACGCCGGCAGCCGTGGCTCTCGACTTTCGCGAGCCTCCACACTCGCTCGTTCCCCTCTGACGAAACTTTGCAAAATCCGGACTGAGCCATTCGGTCTTTCGACCCGCCACTTGTCATCCCGTCCTGACCCATCCAGCCGCCGCAACCGACCTCAGCGATCCGGATTGTGATCACCATTATACCCCCTCTCGACCACCAGCCAAGGCGTTGCCGGTCGACATCCCACCCACTGCCACACCAAAAACCTTGACTGTTTCTGTTTCGCAATCGCTTCACCCTCTGTGCCAGAGATCTCCTGCCTTTCGCCTTCGCCTTCGCCCCGTGTCACGTTCCGGATTCACCGTGCACCGCAGTCATGGCCACCATCGTCGGAGCTTCTTCCGGCTCTCCGCCGCCCGAGCCGATGCAATACGACGATGAGACGCCGCTCTTTACATGTCTCTCGTGCAGCATCGCCTTCCCCAACCCCGAGGATCAGCGCACCCACTACCGATCCGACCTTCACCGATACAACATGAAGCGACGTGTCGCAAATTTGCCGCCAGTCAAGGCCGACGTGTTCAACGCCAAGATTCTCGAGCGCCGCGCCCAGCAGTCGGCCGAGGAAAGCCAGGCCAGCGCTGCCCACGACCGATGCGTCGCCTGCAACAAGGTCTTCCTTTCGCAAAACGCGTACAAGGATCACCTCAACTCGCGCAAGCACAAGGACAACGAGGCCAGGCTCGTCAAGGCGCCCACCATGGCCGCGCCAGCCGATGACCAGAAGAGCAAGGGCGGGGACGTGCCGCTTGTTTTCACGGTACCGAACCCGGCGCAGGTGGACGCGGTGAACGCGAGTCTGCCGAACACCGTCGTGGCCGCCGAAGAGTCGGCCGAAGCCAAGGCTGAGAGGAAGAAGAACCTCAGACAGACGCTGATGGTCGACGAGAACGCGACGGAGGAGGAGATCCAGGCCGCAGTTGACGCCAAGGTGGCGTCGTCTAGGCGGATCGATCCCGCCAAGGAGTGCATCTTCTGCTCCGCGTCCGGCTTCGCCTCGCTGACTGAGTCTCTGGCGCACATGTCAAAGGCGCACGGCTTTTTCATCCCAGACTCCGAGTACCTTGTCGACCTGCCCGGCATGATGTCGTACCTCGCCGACAAGGTCTCGGTGGGCAACATCTGCCTCTATTGCAACGGCAAGGGCCGCGGCTTCCACGAGATGTCGGCGGTCCGCAAGCACATGATCGACAAGTGCCACTGCAAGATTGCCTATGAGCTTGAAGTCGACCAACTCGAGTTCTCAGACTTCTACGACTTCACCAGCAGCTACCCCGTCGACGCCGAGGAGGACGAGGAGTGGGAGGATGCGGATGGCGACGAAGACATGGAAGATGTTGTCGAAGACGATGGCGGCGACGAGGTTGTCGATCTCACGGCGCCCCGCGGCACTGATCGCAACCAAGGCGTGCGGTACGGAGACTCGGAGAACGAGCTGATCCTCCCATCGGGGGCGAGGATCGGCCACCGCAGTCTGCGTCGATACTACGAACAGAACCTTTCGGCGAGGCCGTCGCTCTACGATCACGAGGACTCGCAGCGGTTCGGCGGCGGCAGCGCGCTCGCGAGACGGCTCATTCAGGACAGCGGCATGGGTCACCACAAGCGCGACGGCACCCTTGTCAAGGATCGCGGAGGACAGGTGGTCAAGGCTCGAAACCGTGGCGAGGCCAAGGAAGCCAAGCGACACATCCGCGAGTTCCGCGACGTTGCGAGAAAGGAGGCCTACAAGACTCGCGTCGCCTTCACCAACAACAACCAGAAGCACTTCCGCGATCCGCTGCTCCAGTAATGGGCAGCAGTGTGGTTGGTCCCGTCCCTCGCTCTCGCTGCTCTTCGTCATCCGTCCGTCGATCCATCACGTCTCGCATCTTTCCATCGTCACAATACCTTGGGCTGTGTCGCCAGCATCTCACCTGTCGTTGTCCTGTACTATCTCCCGGTCCATGTCAATCCACTGCATCGTCTACGAATACGTCGTCCACCGCATCTGTCTCCCGCGTACGCCCGGGCCTCTGCGCAGGAGTCTCACTTGGCAGACGTGCGCGTCGCTGACCACCAGATACGTGGTGGAGCTGAGGATCTTGCTTGTTGACCGAAACAATGGCGCGGCACCGCCCCCAAAGTGAATCGGCTCGCGTGCCACGGGAGCGACAAGCAGATCTGCCGCAAGTGCTACGCCCGCCTCCCTCCTCGCGCGACCAACTGCCGCAAGCGAAAGTGCGGCCACTCGTCGCAGCTCCGTCCCAAGAAGAAGCTGAAGTAGTCTGTGGTGCCACACGGTGTCATTGGTCCCCACTCCACTTGTACTTTTGCGACTGTCTTTGCTTCCCTCAACACTGTGGCTGTCGCGGTCTGCCTTTCTCCCAATCTCTCGCGTCCCATCAGCCACCCTCGCCCATGAGACGCGTCGGCCGGCTTCGTCGCGCTGTTGAGCGGTGGTGAAGACTGCCATTATGTGCTAATGTTCAGAGCGGCGAGGATGGTACCGGCGGTGGACTGAGTGCGGTCATCAGCGTAGCGTGGCCGTATTCCTCGTTCCTCGCGCCGCTCTCGTTCTCTCCAGGTCCAGAGTACACGTCATAGTCTACCTTAAAAAGTATAAGGTCCTCGCCCTCTCCATCTCCACAAACAACTTCAGCGGACATCGAACCACTCGCCCGGTAGCTTACACAGGCGCATCCAAGGCTCATGAATCTCCTGGATTTGCGATGCGAGCCCGGACCGCGTAAGGACGATATCGGCCTACTTCTGATCAGGCGCGAAGAAGAGCGGGGTTCGAGGCATGGTGGCTGTATTCGAGAGGCCGCGTGCGAAGATGGGTATATGCGGGTGCACCACGTCCCGAGAGCGTGGAGAGGGATGCAAGTGTACACTTTCTGTGTGCGGACAGATGGAAGGGAGGTATCGATGCATGGGAGGGTATGAACTCAGGGAAGGCCGAAGCCACGTTCAGATAGCGGCGCGCTCGAGTGCATCCGCTGCCTTGTCGGCGCCGCTTGCGGCCAGGGCGGCTTTGCGCCTCTTGGCCTCCACCAGGGCGCCCAGCACGGACTCCCACGCCTTGTCCAGCTGACCCCAGAACCGAAGAGAGGTGATGCCCATCGCAGCGCCGTTCTTCCACACCGCCTGGATGCGCTTGAGCACATCGAGCAACGTTGAAGTGGCGAGATAAGATAGGGCAAGCGACACTTTTAAGCGCGCCCCGACGTTGTCCATCTCGAGCAGCGAGAGGGACGCCAGCTCGTCCCGTTGATACCGCTCGTTGGACAGCGTGGCAAGGAGACGGACCACGAATGCCATCGGGATCAGGTCCTCGAAGAGGCAGGGCGAGTCCGGGCTGTAGAGCCACTTGTGCACCGAGTCGAATGCCGACGGATGAGGTAGGCATAGGGGCACAACGGGCAGCCGCGCCTCTGAAGGCTTCCTGCCGCGTACGACGGGCGGGAGGAAAGGGATCGAGGTGCACTGTAGCGCCAGAACCAGATCGTGCGCCGCGACCAAGATTGTCTCGTCGGTACCGCTGAAGATGGCCAGCACATGAGTCGGCGGAAGATAAGAGCCACAGCTGTCGAGCGTGGTGTCGAGCTGGAGCGAGGCGGGCAGCTTGGCGCCCTGCTGGACCTGGGCTTGGATCTGGTTGCGGAGGCGCGGCACGAAATCGGCTGTCTGCTGGTGCAAGTTCGACTTGCCCATCCGGCCCGCCTCGAGATACGCATCCAGGAGAAAGTCGCCCGGCATGCCGCTAGTCTGCACAGCCTTTGCATCGGCCTCGAGGCCATGGCGGCGCAGATGCTGCGCCAGGTCCAAGTGCGGGTTCGAGATCACCTGGATTGGCGGTCGCGGCAGCCGCTGAGGGATCGTGAGAGCGATCCTGTCTTGACAAATTGCTCCGTTGGGGCGGGGTGAACTGACAGCAGCTGGCGGTGAAGACACTCGCGGCGCAGATGGTGGTGAGGGGCAGCGCGATGGCGAGCCTCGGTAAAGTGCTCGAGAAGACTGAGAGCTGACCCGGCTGTCGGCAGCCCTGCGTCGCGAGGGAGGAAACATAGCCGCGCTCGGCTGCATCACCTGCTTGTGGCCTACACCATTGACCTCGTCGATGCGTCTGACCGTCAGAAGAGATGTACCAGGAGCGTGCGAGGCACTGCGTGGTTGAAGCCTGTCTTGAAGTGGTGCTCTCCGAGTTGCTGGCATCGAGTCGGTTTTGTTGGAGCTGAGCGTCGCCGTTGACGACGTGGGCGGCAGGCGGGATGCTGCCACAGTTGCAGTCGGCATTTTGATGGGGGCCGGGCGGGCAGTGGAGAGCCTGTCAGTGACTTGGTGTTTCTGTTGCGTGTCAGCGAAAGGGATGGGGCACGAGGAGTGGGCGGGCAAAGGTGAGGCTACTGATATAGCGTTTCGCCACCTTTCAGCAACCTCGTCCATCAACACGGTCCCGGCCACGTCGCGTTGGCCCCCCTCCCGAGCTTGCAGAGATTGGGCTCGAGCGCCGATGAGACGGACGCCGCCGCCTGCCACCAGGCTAATCACTGAGCGACAGCGTGCAGCAGCGCAAGCCACCGTCCGGCGGTCCAAGCGGACGGCTCGTAACGGCCCTTCATCAGGAGGGGCTCGGGTTCGCGAGTAGTGGGTTCGTTCTTCGGAGCTCAAGTTTCGCAGACGGTGCCGAGGGTCAGCCAGCCAAGGCTTCCCGGGAACGCGGGGCGGACAATGCAGTAGCAATGAGGTTGGGCCATGATTCGGGTCGGGATCGACGAGAGTCGTGACAGGTCTTTTGCTCGCTCGCCCCCTGGCAGCTGTGCACGGGTCTCCTGTCGCCTACCTCGTCGTAACCTTACCCGCAGTCCGTGGTCCGCTAGCTGCATGTACGTGTGCTGTGTGCACTACCTGTATCGGGGCGCGCTGTTGCCGTGGCGAGATGAAGTGTGACGGGTGGCTGCAGGCCTTGCCGCGCGGAGGAGGTTTGCGTCGAGGAGCCTCTGCACGCTGCAACGACGGCGGTGAAGCAATTGCAGTGTGGCATTGCGGATGCGCTGGAGGTTGAAGAAGCACGATGTTCTTTTGATGCAAAGCATCTGTCGGGAAGTACGCCACTGGTCGACGGCTTCGTCAAAGCGTTATCGTGACGCTCGTCCGGCCTTGGCAGAGTGGCAGCCCGATCAGGGTCTTGACAGCCCCAGCCTATCGATCCTGTGCGCCCGCCTGCGAGCTGCCCATGGTTGCTACACTTTGTACTATAGCCGTACGCGGCGCTTCCGTTAGCATCTGCGGAGAAGGCAGCTCGAGCCCCGTGCCGCTGGAGGACCACGCCGGAGGACCTGCCGTATCTTGTGCTCGTTGTACGAGCCGAGCAAGGCTCCTCTTTCGACTGCGCAAGATCAGCACGGTGTCCGCCTCGGGAAGCGGCGATCGTCGGCTGATTCGCGTACAGTGATGTTTCCCGGCTCTCCTGCTAGCAAGAGCCGCAATCGGCCTCTGTTGCCAGCCACAGACGGGGTTCGGTGGGCAGGACATCGTCTGCAAGCCGTCGATGCGGCATCAACGAGGGCCAGGCGTCACAGCGGGGCGCGGCCATCGTCTGTGCTGGCCGTCAAAAACGGAGAGTCGCTGCATTCTGCAATCTTCTGGTCTGGTCATCGCCCTACAAACGCTCCGAGCTCCTCTTGCGTGAAGGCTGACTCTCGAGAGGGATCAGGACAGAGTCGAGCGGAAGGCTCAGTTGAGTCCCTGGCCTGTGGGACCCCGCCCTTCGTCTCGGCCCGAGTAGAACTTCTCCAAGAAGCCTTCCGGTCGCGCGACGGACTGCATCGAGAAGAGGGGGAGGGGGGAGAGCCAGAGAGGGGGAAAGAACGAGAAAGAGAGAGGGGGAGGGGGATTGCGTTGCCATCCGTTGGGGCGAAAGAAGAGGTTGGGTCAGAAAGAGCAAATCATCACCACTTGCCTTACGAGTGCTCCTGCCGGTGCTGCTGAGGCCCAGCATCTCGGACCGACAGGACCACGATGGCGGGTCCACGTTCCTGGGATCCACCCACCTCTTCCTCCGCAAACCACTTCATGATGTGCGGGACCTGCTTCCATGCGTTCATGGTCTCCTGGTAATCCTGTTGCGCCTTGAGGAGCATGACGTCGAGAACGGCGACGTCCTTGATGTGGCGGTTCTTTTCAAATAGAGTCCGGACCTTTGCCCTGATGACCGAGGGAGGCACGTCTAGCGCGTAGAGCGCGCACATCTCGGGGGCCTGGGGAAGGGCGGTGTCGGTGCGTCGAGGTGACCAGGAGCGGAGGCAGTGGGGTGAGGAGAAGTCAGAGGGAAGGTTTGGATTGGCCTTGGAGGTGCAGGCGTCGGACGGTTGCACGTCTTAGGGGACTCACGCCTCGATAGTAAGCGCGGTAGAGGGCGACGGACCTCTTCCTTGCCTCGTCGAGGTTGCGGGAGATCTGGGTGGTCCTGGCCAGCCTTGCCGGGATGGTCGTCATGCTGTTGCGGTTCGAGGAGCGAGCCGGGTAGTGACAGGCGAGGCAGGGCCAGGCGAGCGTGAGGGTCTGAGGCAAGCAAGCAGGCTTGAACCAGGCGTGTCGGTCCGAAGCACTCACGTTGCTGTTGATGTTTTTGTGGCCTGATGTGGTGGCGCGGGGGTGGCGGAGGGGAAGCGAGGGGTTGGCAGAGGTGGAGAGGCGGAGGTGGTGGGATGCGATAGCCGGCGTGGGTAGTTAGCCGCCAGCCCAAGGCCAAAGGGGCCGCGAGTAGTTGAGTCTTCGGTTGTCTGGTCGGGCTGGCTGGCTGGCTGGCTGGCTGGCTGGCTGGCTGGCTGGCTGGCTGGCTCGCCGGCGATCAAGCTTCCAGGTGACCCGCCTGACCTGCCTGACCCGGGCGAGAAAGAGAGACAGACAGAGACAGAGGTAGGGTGCAGGCAGCGCGACCTGTGGCCCACCGCTAGCGTGGCCCGTGTGGAGGGACGAGGATGGCGTCCACCCCAAACGTCGTGCCGGATGGGCCTGATATTGATTGCCTCTTGATCCCGACTCACCACCATCCAAATCACTCTTCCTTGCCCCCTTCGGACAACAACTCGCACCCTTGTCCTTGCTCGCCTCGAAATGCCCGTCTTTTGAGCCGTCGCTCGCAGCGCTGCGCACCCTCTCCGACCTGACACAGTCCGCACATCACCAGCGCTCACCACGCACGAATGCACGCCCCGTCCTCACGTCTCTCATCTGCTCGCCATCGTTTCCGGACAAAGAACGTCTGAATGCCTTCTGCTTCTGAGACAGCGCGCTACTCGCAATCTCGATCGCCATCCCTGCGACCTTATCGCTCCCTAGGAGTCGAACCGCACAACGAGCCCAGCTCGCTTCGTCGCAGCGGCGGCATCGCATCACCCCCGCCGTCCAACAGCTATCCGCTGCAGCCCTTATCGCATTCCTCGCACGCAGACATGTCCGGCCGCAACTCCCCAGTGCCTTCCTTCAACTCGGATCTGGGCACCACTGGCTTCCGCTCCCGCCCCGGCAGGACACGCTTCGGTCGCTTCTCTCCCGTGGGCGTCGCAGATGACGAAGAGCAACGCGGCCTGCTAGACGAGCGCGACGACCCAGATCGCGGCGGCGCCAACAAATCGGGCGCCTACAGCGACGAACCCTATGGCCCCTCGCGCGCCCCGGGCTCCTACGACGACGGCCAACAAACGCAGTACGGCACCGGTAGCGCCAGTCCAACGAGCCCGTTCAAGGGCAAGCGCAACGGCGCCACGCCGTCTGGCGGCGCTCGGGGCAGCTTCGGCCTCAGCCTTTTCTCGTCGACCAACGGGAATGGCGCCGCACAGCAGAATCGCAGCTTCACCTTTGCTGAGACTGAACGCTCCAAATCCAAGTTCCCGCCCAACGTGGTCCGCAACCAGAAGTACAACATCCTATCCTTTCTGCCAAGGGTGCTCTACGAGCAGTTCAAGTTCTTCTTCAACCTCTACTTCCTCCTGGTCGCTCTGAGCCAGTTCATACCCGCACTCAAGATCGGCTTCATCGCTACCTATGTCGCGCCGCTCGCCTTCGTCCTCTGCGTCACCGTCGGCAAAGAGGCAATCGACGACTGGGCACGCTACAAGAGGGACGTCGAGAGCAACAGCGCCCCCTACAAGTTGTTGGTCCCAGCGGATTCCAGCCTCGCAGTGGCGCAGGCCAACATGGCCCGCAAGCCGGATCGACGGCGTCCGTTCGCGCTAGGCACCACGCTCGGCCGCTCCAGGATTGTTACCGCTCCAAGCAGCAAGATCCGAGTCGGCGACCTCGTCGTGCTCGAGAAGAACCAGCGCGTGCCTGCCGATATGGTGCTTCTACACACGACCGCAGGTGACCAGGCTACCGACGGCGATAGGACGAGCGCCAGTGCGATGGGCGGTGCGTCATCCTTCGTGCTCGGTGAGGACGAAGACGACGATGCCTTCGATTCGGCGAAGGCGAGACGGCAGCCCAGCCTCGAAGGCGGCCTCGACGCCGCAGAGGTCGAAAGTCGAGCCCGCGACGCGGACGCCACTGCAGCTCAACCAGGAGAAGGGTCCGGCGGCACCTGCTTTATCCGCACTGATCAGCTCGACGGAGAGACGGATTGGAAGCTGCGAGTTGCGGTCGACCTGACCCAGCGACTGCCCGTTGATGAGCTAGCGATGCTGAAGGACCGCGCATCTGTCTTCGCAGGGCCGCCGATCAAAGATATCCACACGTTCCTGGGCAACTTCACCTTGCAGCCTCCGCCAGAAGACGATTGCTCGGGCATCACACATGGACCCCCATCGTTGCCGGCGGTTGGCAACCTCCTGGATGAGGATCAGCCCGGCTCCCGACTCAGCGCTACAGGCCAGACCGAGTCGGCGATTGCCATGAGCCAGCAAGCGCAGATGGCCCCTCTGTCGGCCGACAACCTTCTCTGGGCCAACACGGTCCTTGCTGCCGGTACAGCCGTCGGAGTCGTCGTCTATACGGGCCGCGAGACACGGGCCGTGATGAATACCAGCTACCCCGGCACCAAGGTCGGCCTCTTGGATCTGGAGATCAACCGCCTTTCCAAGATCCTGTGCGGCGTCACTTTCGCCCTATCAGTCGCCCTCGTCGCTCTCAACGGGTTTCGGGGCGAGTGGTGGGTCTACATCTTCCGCTTCCTTATCCTATTCAGCTCAATCATTCCGATCAGCTTGCGCGTCAACCTCGACATGGGCAAGACAGTCTACGCACGCCAGATCATGAACGACGAAGAGATCCCGGGCACCATTGTCCGCACCAGCACTCTGCCCGAGGAGCTCGGACGGATCGAGTACCTTCTCAGCGACAAGACGGGAACGCTGACGCAGAACGAGATGGAGATGCGGAAGCTGCACATGGGGACGATGAGCTACGGCTGGGACAGCATGGACGAGGTCGCCAGTCAGCTTGCCACCGCCCTTGGACAGTCGCAGACGGCCCAGTCCGGGCCGAATACGCCGGCAAAGTCAAAAGCTCCGACCGCTGGCGGCCTGACTCCCGCTGGAGCGATGCTGGCCGGTCGTGGTCGACGAGACATGAGCTCGCGGGTCAAGGACGTCGTCCTGGCGCTAGCACTCTGCCACAACGTCACGCCCGTCACTGAGGAGGACGGCTCCATCACGTACCAGGCGAGCAGCCCGGATGAGGTCGCCATCGTGAGGTGGACCGAGTCGGTGGGTCTCACGCTCGTCGCGCGCGATCGCAAGACGTTGAGCCTCAAGGCTGCCGATGGCGCCGTCTTCTCCTACGAGATCCTCGAGATCTTCCCCTTCACGTCGGAGAGCAAGCGCATGGGCATCGTCGTCCGCGAACTCGGCACCGGCGAGCTCACGTTTTTCCAAAAGGGGGCGGATGTGGTCATGGCCAGGATTGTCGCGCAGAACGATTGGCTCGACGAGGAGTGCGGCAACATGGCTCGCGAGGGCCTGCGGACACTCGTGGTCGGCCGGAGGCGCCTGACACCGGACTCGTACGCTGCCTTCGAGCGCGCCTATAAGTCGGCCCGCCTCCAGGTCGAGGAGCGCGGCGAAGCCATGGCTCACGTCGTCGGCCAGCATCTGGAGAACAACCTGGAGCTGCTCGGCCTCACCGGCGTCGAGGACAAGCTGCAGGACGACGTCAAGATGACGCTCGAGTTGCTGCGCAACGCCGGCATAAAAGTCTGGATGCTGACGGGTGACAAGATCGAGACGGCCACGTGCATTGCCATCTCGAGCAAGCTCGTCGCACGTAACCAATACGTCCACCAGGTGGCCAGGCTCAAGAGGCCCGACGCTGCGCGCGCGATGCTCGACTTCCTCCGGTCGAAGCTGGACTGCTGCCTGGTGATCGACGGCGAGTCGCTGCAACTTTGCCTCGACCATTTCAAGGACGACTTCATCGACCTCGCGACGCAGCTGTCTGCCGTGGTAGCCTGCCGCTGCTCGCCGACGCAAAAGGCCGACGTAGCGAGGCTGATCCGGTGGCACACCAAGAAGCGGGTCTGCTGCATCGGCGATGGCGGCAACGACGTCTCCATGATCCAGGCCGCCGACGTCGGGCTTGGCATCGTCGGCAAGGAGGGCAAGCAGGCCTCGCTAGCGGCCGACTTCTCGATCAACCAATTCAGCTACCTCACCAAGCTGCTCGTGTGGCACGGTCGCAACTCGTACAAGCGCAGCGCAAAGCTGGCTCAGTTCGTCATCCACCGCGGCCTCATCATCTCGATCATCCAGGCCGTGTTTTCGTCGATCTTCTACTTTGCCCCCATCGCCCTCTACCAGGGCTGGCTGATGGTCGGCTACGCCACGGTGTATACGATGGCTCCCGTCTTTTCGCTGGTCCTCGACCGTGACGTGAGCGAGGACCTGGCGCTCCTCTACCCGGAGCTTTACAAGGACCTCACCAAGGGCCGGAGCCTCAGCGCCAAGACGTTCACCACCTGGCTAATGATCAGCGTCTACCAGGGCGGCGCCATCATGATTCTCAGCCTGATGCTGTTCGAGAACGAGTTTCTCAACATTGTCAGCATCTCGTTCACCGCCCTCGTCATCAACGAGCTCATCATGGTCGCACTCGAGATTACCACTTGGTGAGTCCCTGCTCTGCTGTGCTTCGCCTCACTCTCCTCGTGATCGGCCTCGATGGCAGGCGACTCAGATCCCGGATCTCCTCGTCCGCTTCGTTCGACGGGCTTCGCACTTGCCGCATCGACAGGCACGTCTACATGATCCTCTCGGAGGTCGTCACCCTCTTCTTCTACTGCATCAGCATCATCTTCCTTCCAGAGTTTTTCGGTGAGTTGCCCGTCCCAGAGTCTGAGACTTGCGTCGCCCACGATGCCAACCTGCCGCACCCATCCTCGACCCCTGCGAACCCCCGGCGGTGGCCCTGGGGTCCGCAGACCTCAACTTCGTCCTCACCCACCGCTTCTTTTGGAAGACGGCTGTCATTGTCGCAGTCTCGAGCCTGCCGCTGTACGCCTACAAGGTGGTGAGGCAGAGGTTGGCGCCGCCCAGCTACAGCAAGCTCGCCATGACGTAGGCCGCCGGGCTACCGGCTGGCCGGCTGTCCGAGGCTGGTCAAGGACGGTCGACGCTGGACAGCTACTCGCGCCCACTGGCCAGCTTGCGGAGCGGATCGGCCCTGTAGCAATGCACCCAGTCACGCTGCACACCAGACCACGAGGCCACAGGCTCGACACAGTCGTCGAATTTTCGTCATCATCGTCAAAGGTCGTGAGATTGCCACCGGGAGTCATGGCACTACGGCGGGCGGAACGAGGCGGGATGAGGGCAGGACGACGCGACCAGAGACGGGGAGAGGCGGGGAATATGCGCGGAATGGGCTGAGAAGTCGATCTACTTCATGATCTTTCCGTCGGCCCACTGCTTGCCGTCGGGCGTGACAGCCTCCCAGGCCATGTAGTCCTCGAAGAGCTTCTTGTCCTCGTCCTTCTTGAGGTCAAGCGGGGTGATGCTGTAGCTCTCGATGTCGGGGGCGCACGAGAGGACCTCGGCGGGGTTCTGGCCGCGGACGACGTAGACACCGGAGATGGCGTTGTTGTTGTTCTCGCCGAACACGCCCATGGTGCCCATGATGTACTTGCGGTTGGCCTCGAGGCGGGTGTGGAGGCCCGTGATGAGGTTGGACGACATGAAGAGCAGAGTAAGCTCGTCGTTGTACTTGTAGTCGAGCTTGACGACCGAGTAGCCGTCGTAGTCAAAGTTCTCAAAGAACCAGGGGAGCGCCTTGGGGCGGGTGTCCTCGTTCGAGTAGGTGCGCTTCCACTCGTCAAGGATGAACGACGACTTGGGCAGGCTGTCGAGCGGGTTCTTGGGCGGCGGGGCCGCCTTGGGCTCGTCGTCCTCGTCGTCGACCTCCTTAGCCTTGGGTTTGGCGGCCTCCTTCTTGGGCGCAGGCGCCGCCTTGGGCTTCTCCTCCTTCTTGGGCGCGACAAACTTGGCGTTCTCGGAGCGCTGCTCCATCTTGAAGAGGTCCAGGACGGTGGGCTGACCGGCAATGGTCTGGTAGTATCGTGCCGTGTTGGGGTACTGCGAGCGGAACTCCTGGCCGGCGATCATGCCGTAGAGCGACTGGAGGTTGCTCGCGACCGTCAGGTCGGCGAGGGTGACACGGTGGCCGACGAGGAAAGTCTTCTTCTTGAGCGAGGCCTCGAGGAACTTGGAGGCGCGGTGGAGCGAGTCCCAGGCCTTGGTCTCGGCCGCCTTGTTGTAGGGCAGGATGTTCTTGGTGAGGAGGAGGATGGTGACGAAGTTGTTCCAGATCTCCTCGTCGGCAAAGTCGATCCACTGCTCGACCTCGGCGGCCGACTTGGCGTCGGTGCCGAGAAGCTTGCTGTTGTCCGAGAGACCGGCGACTGAGGATAGGCGCGATGGCGTCAAGTGCGAAAGGTGGTGGAAGCAGAGCGGAAAGGGGAGGCGCCGTGGCAAGGTGAGCTCGTGCTGGCGGGAGAGAGGGATGGGATGCTCGGCCTGAGCCAGGTAGCGCGCCTTCCGCCCCTTTGTCCCTCCCGTTCCAACTCCACCGTGCGCCTGCAGATGACCGCCGGATCTCCGCCGAGGGAGTCGACGGCTAGGACTGCGGATCATGTCAGAGCATTCTGCATGTGTGGTATCCTCGACATGTGTTCTTTAAGACAGGGATAACTGTAAAATGAAAATCTCATCATGCTGATCTCGCCCGGCTGGCGGCAGAGGAGGGCTGGCCGAGCGAAGCGCCCCGGACACAAGCGATGTGGACATTGGGCAGGACGCCTGCACGCCTGCACCTGCCTTGCGAGCCTACGGGCAAGCAATCCTCGACCGGCGAGTCTCTCGGGATCGTAAAGGCGGGCGGGGGCGGGAACGGAAATCAGGGCCGGACGAGAGCGGCAGGGACTCACTGTAGCGGGCGATGGCGCGGCTCTCGGTGAGCTTGAAGCCGTCAGTGCCCTTGAAAGCCGGGATCTTGCCGTAGGGGAAGTCGGCAAGGTACTCGGGCTTCTGGGTGTCGCCGTTCGAGGGGACAGTCTGGACGAGGTCCAGCTCGACACCGTTGTACTTGGCGGCGGCAAGGGCGCGGACAATCTTGCCGTGGCCGGGGTAGCCGTAGAGCGAACCGATGGGAGCCATGTTGGATCGTGGCGAGGGAAATGGAAAGTGGTGACCGAGGAAGGTCTAGCAGGGGGGATTGGATTGGTGGTGGAAGGGTGAAGGAATGGTGGCAGGCGATGCCGTGCTTTTTTGTGCTCTCTCTTGCCTGGGCCGTCGCCAGCCTTGACCGCTCCCCGTGGCCCTTCCTCTCGATCGCCTGCGGTGACTTGGGCTCCATCCTCCTCCTTGATGGCTGGCTGGCCGGCCAACCGCCCCCTCGCCCGTGTGGCGCGGCGAACGCACCGACCGGCTGGCAGGCTTGCCCTTGCTTGCACCTGCTGCCCAGGCGGTGCGGCCCTTGATTGACCTGACCTGAGAGAATTTTTTTTCTCTCTCTTTTCCCCCTTCGTTGCCCCAATCTTCCTGAGCCTTCGACGATGCGCCGTGCGCGCTTCTTCTAGAGGGGGCGCGGGCTGGGCGGGCCCGTCTTCGGCTCCGACCCCGCGAGCTTCTGGTCACGCCTCCACAAATCCACGCTCGGACCATGCAGACGACGGTGGTGGCCCTGGCCAAACCAACTACATGGCAGACCCGCCACGCCTCGAGGCTTCTCTCGCGCTCAGCACCGTCACCCTCACCGCCGCAGTCTCGTGGCCAATTCCAAGCATGGGTGAGTGTCCGGGGCTGCGTCGCAGCACGGCTCAAAGTCCGTCCGCCGTTTTTAGCACGCTGTTCTCAGTTGCATCCCCCCCGTGCCTATCCTTGCCCCCTCAGCTGATCCTTACACGTCTGGCTCCCTGCCGATGGGCACCTTTGCAGGCCTGGCATTCTGGCTGATTCCTTCTGACGCGTCACGGTCGGTCCTGGCGGCCGAGATAGACAAGCTGCGCTCCTCGAATCCAGATGCTCCCCGCTTCGACTGCCATGCCACCCTTTTGGCCGGCATCCACTCGGACCGAGGCGCACAGTCCACCCTGGATACCTCGGCCCTCGTCTCCAAGGCCCAGACGGCCATCGAGGCATGGAGGGAAGCGGGCTACCGGAGCGCCCTGAAATGCCAGCTCGAGGACGTCACCACGCGAGGAATCTACTTCCAGGCGAGTACGATCCCTTCGTTGGCCGCTGCCTGGACAAACGCGCTGACGGCCTCCCCGTCGCCGATGGATCTGTCGCTGCCGCGTCCCGCAGTGTATCCTGATCGCGCTGCATAAGCAACCAGACCTGCTCAGCCTCAACTCGCACATGCGCACCGCATTCGACCTCACATCGCAGTCGCCCTTCTTCCCGCACATCTCGCTCCTCTACTCCGACATTGGCGCACACGAAGCCAAACGCCAAATCGACACCATGGAACAAAGAGGCACATTCAGTCGCCACCAGACTGGCGACGGCCACAATGCCATCACGTTTGCCGGCCTCTCTCACGTCGAGTTCGTCGCTATCGACCTGTACGACTGCAACGGCCCGCCAGATCAGTGGAAGCGACTTCATAGCATCCCGCTTCACGTTTAGGACCCTCAGGACGTCAGTCGGCCCTCCCCGCATCGCACAGCAGCTCGCAGCCGCGTCTGATGCTCGTCGTCGCACGTCGATCGCCAAGTCGATCGCAGTTGAACTGGGGACGAGAGGCAGGGGCCTTCAACCGAAGTCGAAAGGCTGCGGCACCTCCATGTACAAATACATCGAAATCGCGGATCTAAGGAGCTCTTGGAGGGTGATAAATGAAAGCGATCTCACAGTGAGCCAAGAGGCCGAAACCGACTCGCCGGGCGGAGAAAAAGGCCGACGGCGATAGCAGAGGCCGAACGGCACGGCGCGTCGGCTTCCATCGAGTCATGGGACGGTCAAATTCCCACCCGAAGGCCGTGACCGACAGCCGCACTCCAATCCAGCTTCCATGGCGGGCGAACAGCCCGAGCCGAGGTCGAGGCGGCTGGAAATCGAGAAGACGTTGCCTGACTTTGCTGCTTGTTGCGACGAGGCGTGTGCTTGCATGATGGAGCGAGAGCGTGACAGGGAAGGACAAGAGTAGCCGTGGTTCGAATCTTGGCTGGGAGCAAAGCAGGCATTGGATCGACACGAGAGCACGTCCGGCATGCGGTGCTCCGTCCGGCACAGCAAGGAGCAGAGGGATATGTGGCGAGCTGACTGGAGGGTCGTCCGCAAAGCGCGGAGGGAGCGACGACGTTGGTGGCGGCGGTCTTGCGAGCGCGATCTCAGAACAGCGTCCGAGTCTGGGTCCATGTCGAGCCGATGCAAGCTGGCGAGGCGGTGCGGCCGAGGGTCTGGTACATCGAGATTCTTTCCATGAGGAAGCGAAACCCCCAACCTCGCCACTTGCAAAAGCCCCGGTGGGTATCTGTCGAGGCGGAGAGGGCCGTAGGCTTGCCGACTGCACCTGTTTAGGCGATGACTAGCTGCACCTCGGCGCCAGTGGCCCTGGCGCTTTCGAAGGCCATTTGCAGATCGTCGTCGTCGTTCATCATGACCTGGTCGCCATCCTCGTCGATGTAGCGGATGCGAAGGCCATTCTCAGTCAGCGAGTTGCGCCCGCTGCAGACGCGCACCTTCTTCGTCACCTTGTCCAGCAGACTGGCAAACGAGATCGTAGAGAGGACGACGACGACAAAGCGGTCCTCGCCGCAGTGGACGAGCAGCTTGACAGCGCTCGACGAAGTCGGCGTCGTGGGCGTCTGCGGTCCGCTCGAGACGCTCGGCCTACCACCGTGTAGCGCGCTACCATTGCTTGTGCGGACTCCAGAGGCGCTCGACGATCCGCTGAGGTTGATCGGCGAGCTTGCAGCCGTCGAGGACGGCGGCCGGGACTGGCCCGAGTGCGCCGAGTCGGTAGTCGAGACACTCGAAGAGCTGAACCGCTTGTTGCCGTGGCCATTGCTAGCAAGAGCGGTGGCGCTGTGGTTTGACTTGAGATGGTCTGCGAGCTGGTTTGGCAGCGGCGGCGCCTTGGGCATGGGCGGAGCCGGACCTTGCAGATGAGCCGGCAGCGGATACATATGTGGGTTGCTGGCCGAGCGCGACCGAGTGTGGGCAGCACTGTCGGAAGTCGTCCTCGACATGGCTGAAGCCACAGAATCGCCGCGTGGACGGGCGGGGAAGGGGCCGTTGCCGTGACTGCGATAGTCGACGTGCTCCGATGGTCCGTCGAGGTATTCGACAGCGCCGCCATCGACGGTGCCTGCGCGCGACGAGGACCGCGAAGTGGTCGGCTGGAGGCCGGTGAAGCCGGGCTGGCGAAGCTGCCTGCTGCTCGACGCCTTGCGCAGCTGCTGGTGGTCGGTGCCTGTGCTGTAGGACAGACCGCGTGGCAGCAATGGTGGCATCGCAGGAGAGTGAGATCGCCAGTGGGCCATCAGCGACGAGTCCTGGTCCTCGGTGCGGGCGCGAGGCCGCGACTCCTGCGTGAGCGAGAGCTGCCGCTCCCTCTGCTCAGCGGGCTGAGACAGCCTTCCGCCGTTGGACGGCGTTGCGCGACCACTCTGGCTCTCGTAGTAGCTGTGCGAATCGCTGCCGCCATCGTCGTCGTGCCGATAGCTGCTGGCCTGCGACTCGGTACGGGAGAGAGACAGGGAATTGCCAAAGGGGTTGAGAGGCGGTGCTTCCGACAGAGGCGTCTGCGGGAAGTGGCTCGACGTGGCAGTCATCCGCCTGCCGTTCGCTCCGGCGCCGGCGAGATTGATGGAGCCGGGCGAGACGCCAGTCTGCGTGTAGTGGGCCGCCGCTTGTTGCCGCCGCAGGTTGACCTCGTCAATGAGCTTGTTGATCGCCGTCTGCCACTGCTTGAGGTGCTCGTCGTTCTTGCACTTCAGGGCAAACGATTCCTGGTCGACGTCGCCGCGCCACCACACCTGCAGAGCATACTGGCCCGCCGCCGTGCCGAGAACGTGGCTCATCTTGTTGTTGACGAAGGCGCCCGTGACATTGTTGATGAAGATTCGCCCCTTGAGCTGGAGCATAGTCTTGCTGCGCTTGTCCTTGGCGCTCAGGGCTGGGGCTCCCTTCTGCTTGAGCAGCGACGCGTTCTTGCCGCCCTTCTTGGCATTGTTGGGCACCACCTCCTTGCAGCAGAGGAGGATCTTCTCAAAGAGGTACACTTGATACTCGCGCTCGGTGTCGCTCTTGGCGACCATGAAAGTGTCGGAGAGCAGCAGCTGGCCAAACGTCTTGATGTTGTGGCCCTTCCAGTCCTCGACGCGCCACTCGAGCTCCTTGACCAATTGTGCGTTTTCTTGCAGTCGGCTGGTCTCGTTGACATTGTCCGTGATGCGCCGGATGACCTGCAGGCCCTCTTCGAGCTCGCCGTACCGGGGAGCCTCCTTCGACGTCTTCTTGAGCAGCTGCTCGAGGAGCAGAGGGTATTTGCAGATGCGCTGCACCGGCTTGATCATGAACGCCGGCAGCTCGTAGGCGGGGTCGAGGTAGCAGCCCTCGGCGCACGGCAGGCTTTTGAGGCGCACCAGGTTGGAAGCCTCGGCGGTGATCAGCTCGAGGGCATTTGCGTAATTGGCGCAAAAGGGCTCGTACACCGTGAAGTCCTCTTCCATCGTCTTGAAGACGTGGCCAAAGTGCTGCTCGTCGGCTGGCCGACGGACATTCTCCTCGACGCAGATGAGGAACCGCCTCTGCACATCGACGAGCTTGTTGAGGTTGCCAAAGAGATGATGCAGCGTGTCGGGCGGCAAAATGTCATTTTGCGCCAGCGCCCGTGCGTAGCTCTGTGCTCGACCACAGCACGGCCATGTCGCGCGAGGGACAGGATAAGAAGTCGGCCTCGGGGTCAGTGACTCTAGCGTGCAGAGCTTGCACGGTGAGCAGTCTGGGCAGCAGGGTAGGCCACTCACCTGGAGGACTTCAAGGTCCTGTACGTATTTCCGCTCCGTTGTCAGCAGCTCTCTGACCACCTTGGCCCGATCGTCCGACGGCGTCTCTAGGTCGTCGTGCTCCGTCGCTCGCTTGTTCTCGATGAGCAGGCCGCGCTCCTCGAACACGTCCAGGAGCCGGTTGATTGTGCGAACGACCTTGACGAAGCCGTTGGTGTCGTTCTGGTAGAGCTGGGTGACGGTGAAGATTTCGTCGGGATCCCAGCCCAGGTTCTGCTTTAGAGCAATGATGAACTTCATCACCTGCGCCTTGCATGCGTTGGCGTTGCTCCTGTTGGCGTCCGGGTTGAGGGGCAGCGCGGCCTCTGGACTAAGCGCGTTAAAGAGGGCGCAGAGCGGCGCACCCAGCCGGAAGCATTGCCAAAGCTGTGAGACGGGATCGCTCATGGTTCGGGCCCTGAAATCGGAGCCAGTGTCGTCGGGCTTCGGCGAGGCAGTGGCAGGGGACGGAGGACCATTAGAAGTGATCGAGGTGGCCGAAATGAGGTCGTCGAGGTAGCTCTCGCCGAAGTCGGGAACGCAGTACAGGCGGTCGCGGAGGTTCAGACAGGCCTGATACAGGCTCGAACCAGCAATCGCCTGCTTGTTTGCGATCGTGTTGGCGGCTGCCGGGGCTCCGGACATCAAAGTGGCGCCTCCGGGGCCAAGGAAGCTGGCGCCGATGCCACCGTCTGCAGATCCGGCCGTCGAGCTCGGCCCGACGGGCATCGTCGAGGCGGATAGGGTGTTAGGATCGAATGCCGGCGTGGCTGAGGAGACGGACTGCTTCCGCGATGTGCGGAAGCCGAGCGCTGTGGAAGCTGCCATCCTTCAGAGCCGGTGAGCCCTCTCAAGACAGCCGGCTGTCCTTACGAAGGCGAAGAGTCGAAGACGGAACGAAGACGGTCGAGCTGTCGTGGAGCAAAGTCGGCGTCGAGTATTGTGCGATGGGGGACTCTGCTGTCCGGAAAAGGCCTATGGCTCGGGACGGGGACCAGCAGGTAGCTGCAATGGGCTGTCGGAGGGGGCAGATGCGGATTGCGTGGGCGTGATGCTCTAGTGTGCGATTCTGTATCGAGGAAAGGGAGGACGGGGTCCGCTGCGGGCTCCCTCTTGGAGCAGCCGTGGTGTCGTCTGTAGGCAATCCGATTCTTCCACGGACGGGGCGATGCGATGGAGCCAGAGGAGCTCCTGCGATGCTGATGTGTCGAGCGAGGCGGTTCGACCTGCGGTGATCTGGGTCTGGGACGAAACCGCGCAGAGCGGAAAAGGAAACGTCTCGAGAGGCGGGCGAAGGATCTAAGGGAAAGGGATAGAGAAAGGCGCAGACGAAGGAGGAATCAAGAGAGAAACCTGCAGGAGGGGGATGTGGCGGTGGTGGTGGTGGCTATGGTGGCGACAACGACGGCGGCGAGGAGGATTTGAGAGGAGGGACAATGGCGCCGGTGGGCGAGGAAGTGGGGATCGTGTCGGAGGGCGGCGAGGGCGGTTTGGATGGCGAGGCAAAGCCAGGGAGCGGGGGCGGGAGGGGCGTACGAACTAAGTTGAGAGAAGTGTCGGGTCGGCGAGCAGCCTAGCCTCTTCTTTCTCTCTGTCTCTGTGCCCCCTGTTGATGGATCTGATTTCCAGATTGAGGGGGAGGAGCGGTGAGGCAGAGCAGAGGCGGGCGGAGGAGAGGGCGCCAGAGGGGGTCGGCCTACCGAGAAAGGGAGCGAGGTGAATGCAGGAGGCGGCGGGTGGGAAAGCCAGCAGCAAACAGCGCAGCGTACGGTAGCCCAGGGTTAAGCGGGCTTGCTGGGCGTGGGCCCCCTAGCCTAGCCAGCAGCCTGTTCAGCCGAGCTGCCAGCCAGCCAGCCAGACGCACGCAGCAGACGCCAGAAGAGAGAGAGAGAGAATTCACGCACCAGGCAGGCAGCAGCAGCAGCAGCTTCGTTTGGCAGGCCAGCTGCTCCTTCACCCTCTTCCTCACACCCTCGGCCTACCTTCGTCCCGCCGCCTACACAGGTAACCCCGTCCGCCCGCTGGGCGTTCCCGGGCCCACGCCTCCTACCCCTTCGTTATCTTCTTTCTATCCCGCTGTTGTACCTGTCTATCTGGGCCAGCCCGACCAGGGTGTGGATGCCCTCAGCGAGCCTGTGCTGTAGACACCTTTTCGCGCCTAGAACGTCCCTTTTTTCCGTAGCCAACGCCGACAAGAGAAATCAGCACGTCACACGCCCACAGGCGTCTCCCGGCGTGGACAGTGCTGCGTATGTACATACAGTGTAGCAGCAGCCAGGGGCGAAGCAGCTCTATCCGCAGCGGAGAGCGAAACAACAACCTGAAATCTCGCCCGCGCCCAGACAGGGGGGGGGGGGGGCAGCAGCCAGGAGGACTCGACACGATATGGCTTCCATCACTACTAGCTAGTACCACTTGGTTGTTTGATATTTGTATTCCAACACTTCGTTGTTGCACTTACTACTGCCTGTGCAGGCGCAAGGCTCGTGTGGTGGGCGACGACGACGACATTACGATGAAGGGGAGTTAGCGTCGGAGCATCGAATCGGCTCTTTGCCCTGTCGAGGGTCCTCGACTCTCGACGAGCTCAGTTACAGGTCGTAGACGGCGCCGTGAGTACGTGGGCTCACGGTACGATGTACGTACATACACGTCCTCGTCGCATCTCTGCCTTCCGGCGCGCAGAGGAGGTACGTGTGCGGAGTCGATGTGCAAGCCCTGCATCCTGAATGCAGTCCATGCTGCACAGGACTAGCTTGTTTGACATACAGGTCGTTGGCGTTGCCCGTCAAGCCTGCTGAGGAGCCTCGGAGCAGCCTAGCATTTGCAGTCATGGTCAAAGAGTGCACGTATGGAACGGAGGAGACGTATTTTCAACTTCGACATACAGTCAACGGGATACCGTATGTACATACACCCTGTGTAGCCCAGCGTGGCCATGCATGTGTGGCCGGGGCCCTGTGGCGTCCCGACAGATGGTGATTTCACTCTCTTGCCCACGGGCCTGCCGTTGACCGCGGGCCGGAAGGTCGTGCCATGCACCTCCGCCAGGCGCGTTTGGGGAGGATTGGGACGCACGGGTCGCTGCTACTGTACATGTATCCAGCCTGCCCCCCAGCTTGCTTGTTGTCGAGAGAAGTTGACTTTTGTCGCGGAGATGGGAGCTGCTACAACGCGTGGTCTGGCACGGTCGCTCGGCGACACCGAGCAAAGTGCAGCGTCTGTTCGCCGCACGGTTGTTCGCGCAAGAGCGTTGCGGGTTTTCGTCTGCAATACTTTGCGCTCTTTTCAACGCCTCCTCAGGGCGTGCGGATGGCCTGGACGCCTGGCAGGCCAGGCCTCGGCGACTCGGGAGCTTCATCGTCTGTAGCGCGAGCATTCCTCTAGCCGCGCATTGACTCGTCCGGCGTAACACACCGAATGCAACGTCGGCATCCGTAACTCAAGATCATCCGCAGCAGCTAGCCCGACCATTCCCCTCCGCAAGAGTCTCTCAGCTGGCCGGGCCTGCCTGTCTGGCCTGGCCTGCGCCGCGCCTAGGTGCAAGGGGTAGGTTTGACACGCGCGTCTCGGTTCCGATCTCGTGGGGGGACCATCGGGCTCCATTCGACATGGCAGCTGGCACCACGACAGGAGAGGGTCACTCTACCGGCAGTTGCCAAGGGCATATGGGCGGGCGACGTGCGGAGCCAGCACCGGGTGCCGAGCACGCAACGGCAAACACCCACGTCGACGACAGGTAGTCTCCACCGCGGGTCTTGTCGAGAGACGGCTGGCGCCGCCACCGACGCGCCTAGAGAGGCGGCGACAGTCACCAGAGCACAGATCCAGGCAGGAGAAGACGCCAAGCAGCGCGGAATGCCACAGCACAGGGGGATGCTCTGTCTGTCGTCGAGAGCCATATCGCTAGTGGTGATCATTGTGGGGCCGGCCCGACTCCGCTGCGCCGAACGGCCGTACAACTTGCTACACAGCAGTACCTACCCACCACCTTCGCATGTGGTGCGGGCCGCAGAGTGTCTCCTCTGAGCCCGGGGGGAGGGGGAGATGGAGGCGCCCCAAGCAAGATCGGGAGGCCGACCGCGGGAGGACTGCCCAACAGGGTGGGTCGTATGTCGGCCAAAGGCGTCGGAAGGCCGAGAGGAAAGTAGTGACACGTAGCCCTGTGGCCCGGGCCCGACCTCTGCTTGGCCTGGCCGCCTTCGCTGGCGCGGGCTTCATGGCACGCTGGCAAAGAGGCGCAGGCAGACCACGAGAGAGAGTGGGGCGGAAATTCCAAAACCTGGCTCGACCGCGCGCGCGGGCTGGCTGGCTGGCTGCACCTGGCCAGGCATGAGGATGCCAGCGTTGCAGCGCCAGCGAGCCAGCCAACGAGCCTCGACCCCAGCGCGAGCTCCGGAGCGGAGACAGCCACCTTTCCTCCCTGCAGAGGTGGCGGCGGCGGCGGCGGCGGCGGTCGTACAAAACCCGGCGAGGCAAAGGCCTGGAACGTCCATCGGAGCCCCTCTCACATCCCCCCTCTCCCTCAATCTGGCCCCTTCGTTCCTACCACTCACTCTGGCAGGCAGTCCCACATTCTCTCGACGCCGACTACTACCTCGACGATCACCCCCTGCGCCTTGCCAACTCGACAGAAATGCGTTTCACCCGCACCGCCATCGCCGCCGCCGGTCTGGCGAGCGCCGCCACGGCCTACGCCGCCGAGGCTTCCGGCTCTGACGTCCTCGTCCTTTCCGAGGGCAACTTTACCTCGACCGTCGAGGCCGAGCCGCTGATGCTCGTCGAGTTCTACGCGCCCTGGTGCGGTCACTGCAAGAACCTCGCTCCGCAGTACGAGGAGGCCGCCACCTCGCTCAAGCAGAACGGCATCAAGCTCGCCAAGGTCGACTGCACCGTCGAGACCGAGGTCTGCGCCGCCCAGGAGGTGGCCGGCTACCCTACCCTCAAGGTCTCGCGCAAGGGTGTCTTCACCGAGTACAACGGTGCCAGGAAGGCCGATGGAATCGTCAGCTACATGCAGAAGCAGTCGCTCCCCGCCATCTCGACCCTCACGGCCGACAGCATCACCGAGTTCAAGGGCAAGGACAAGGTGGTTGCCATCGCCTACCTCTCGGACAAGGACGCCGCTGACCTCGAGGTCATCACCAAGGTCGCCGAGGCCCATCGCGACGACTACCTCTTTGGTGTCGCACACGACGAGTCGCTCGCCAAGGCCGCCGGCGTTACCGCCCCGGCCCTCGTCCTCTACCGCAAGTTCGACGAGCCGGAAGTCAAGTTTGACAAGAAGTTCAGCCAGGACGATGTCGTCAGCTTCCTCAAGGCCGAGTCGGTGCCCCTCATCGACGAGCTGGGTCCCGAAAACTTCATGACCTACGCCGGATCCGGCCTCCCGCTGGCCTACCTCTTCGCCGACCCCGAGTCCAAGGACCTTCAGTCGCAGGTCGAGTCGCTGCGGCCCCTCGCCAAGGAGAACAAGGGCAAGCTCAACTTTGTCTGGATCGACGCCGTCAAGTTCGCCAACCACGCCAAGTCGCTCAACATCCAGAGCGAGAACTGGCCCGCCTTTGCCATCCAGGACATCGAGAAGAACCTCAAGTTCCCCCTCGAGGACATCGCCTCGGACCTCACCAGCAAGGTCAGCAGCTTCGTCGGCCAGTACACCAAGGGCGACCTCAAGCCCAGCATCAAGTCGGAGCCCATCCCCGCCGACCAGGACGGCCCCGTCCACGTCCTCGTCTCGGACGAGTTTGACAAGATCGTGGGAGACGACAGCAAGGACATGCTCGTCGAGTTCTACGCGCCCTGGTGCGGTCACTGCAAGAAGCTGGCCCCCACCTACGACCAGCTCGGCGAGAAGTACGCCGCACACAAGGACAAGGTCCTCATCGCCAAGATGGACGCCACCGCCAACGACATTCCGCCATCGGCCGGGTTCCAGATCCAGTCGTTCCCTACGATCAAGTTCAAGGCGGCCGGATCCAAGGAGTGGATCGAGTTCCAGGGCGACCGATCGCTCGAGGGCTTTGTCGAGTTCATCGGCCAGAACGGCAAGCACAAGGTCTCGGTCGACCTCGAGCCCGTCAACGACACCGCCGCCGACGCCGCCAAGAAGGACGACGCTCCCCACCACGAGGAGCTCTGAGCGTCTCTGCCCTGCTTCAGAGCCCAATCGCGCTGCGGCTGGGGAGGGGCCCCAAGGTTGCGACGTCGGTGGCGGCCCCCCACCTCGCCGTCGGAGGTGTGTGCCTTCAGATGCGACGCGGGTCCCGTCTGCTCCTGGATCCCACAACTTGGTCACCGATGTCGCTTGCCCGTACATTCTGCTAGCTGAGGAAATATCCATTGTGTCCGGCTCCTATGTTTGCCACTTTCAGCCTTGTGCAAGCGGGCCGGAAGAGTTTGCGTGGCACCCGGTGGAATCCAGGTCCATCGAACATCACCTTCGCCGATGTCAGATGCCCCTCCTTGTCCGTTCCGTGAGGCTTAGACCCATGGGTCGATGCGATGCTGACCTGTCCGATGATCGACACGAGCTTCGAAGCTTGGCGGCGAGGCCCAAAGCCGCTGCTCACCACCGCGCGACGCTCCAAGACCAGGCATGTGGGCACGAATTTCAGGGCCGCCCCCTAGGCCCAAAGACCATCCAGGCCTGTGGGCCCCTCGCCGGCGTGGGCCTGACGGGCTGACGGCGCACTTCAACCCCATCGGCACCATGTTTCCACTCGATGGAGCGGCAGCAACGTCTTCGTCGTGCCTTTCGATCATTGCTCGGATTATATTCGTCTGGCCCGGTCGGTCTGAGGCCCGTTTGCAAGGCTGTACAAGAGCTGAATGGCATTCGTGCGGAGGGCCGCTACTTGGCATCCCCACCGCAGCGCTGCAAGACGCTCAATCCTGGTGCATGGCTGTTCTGGGCACTGTTCCTCCGTTCTTTCGATCCTGGCACTATGGCTTGGCTGGCAATTTGTCGTGGCAGTGCGTCCGCCCTCCCACACGCCGAACCCCACGGGTCGGTCGGCCCTTCTTCGCTCACGTCGAGCTTGGTAACCCCTTGCGGCGAGGGTTGCGCTTGGGCCTGATCACGTTGCGATTGGTCCTGACTTTCTGAAAGCAGCCTTCGTGGCTCAACGTGCGAGGCCGACGTCCGTGCGGCCTTGTTCGGCCATGGGTGAGGCCTGAGTGCCCTCCTGGTCTTCTGTCGATGCTTGCTGTCGCGCTGATGTCTTGGTGCCGATGGGCTTAGGAATGGAGCGCATCGTGTTGGTCTCTTCGCGGTCGTCCGGCCGCATCACTACCGGTCGAGACGGGGAGGATGACCAAATCTCCTTCGGCAGAGGGTGGGCGGCAGCCCCACTTGTTTGGCGCTGGGGCAACATCGAGAGCGCGTTGCGCGGCGTCATCGACATAGGTTCGGGCAGGTGATGGATGGTGTGGGGTGCGCTGTCGAAGGGCTCCACACCTGGACGGCCGAGCTGGCCGGAGAGGCTCAAGCCTGCGGGACTCGAGCGAAGTGCCTGAGCAGAATGGGTCTCGAGGGACAGCTCGCCGTGACGCGGGAGCTGGCCGTATAGGGAAGCGGTCTGGGTTCCTGCGGGCGAGCGCTCGGCAAACGGCATGGGGCTGCTGTGATGGCTGCCCGTCGCAGATCGGCTGATGGCGTGAGGATCACGAGGTACGGATCCGGTGACGGGACCACTCCCAGGAAAGGCAGCGCTTTTGGCCTTCGACACCCCCGCCATCAGGGCCTCGAGAGAAGCAATGCCCTGCTCAGAGGTCGGGTCCAGACCACCGGCGATCTGAGCCGCCAGCATGGCACCGTGCTGGAGATTCGAGGCCAGTTCGTTGCCTTCAGCGAATGGGTAGCAGCGCATGCAGACCTTTCGTCGCCTCCAATTCTGCGGCAGAGGAGAACAATATCAGACCAGTCAGGGATCGCCGCCGTGCGCTTGGCCGCGGCCGAAGGAAGGGAGACAGAAGCTCGTGACCCACCACAAACCCGCAGGTGCCGCAGAGCCAGTCGCCAGGCTGGACGCACATCGGACCCGAGTTACCCGTATTGACGATAGGCGGATTGTTGGAGCTCATGCTGCCGCCCGCTCCTCCGTCTGCCCCTCCAGCGACCACGCTGGGGTTGACGCCGGGGCCGATGCTGTGGAAGGCAGAAAAACAGGGGGAGAGGTGGCGTTGTAAGCGCACCGTGATTCCGGCGGCCCTGCGCGGCCTTTGCAAAGCACACCGAGCCTCTGCAACAAGAGCACTGACCCAACGCCGAACTGTTGCAGCTTGGCTGCCACAGCCGTAGCTGCGGGACCCGTCTCGGGAACAGATTTGGAGCCCTTGCCAGCTACCGCCTCGACGAGCGCGCTGAGCTGCGTCGTCGTAGGAGTCGCTGGCGATGTGAGGTGTAGCGGCGTCGTGAAGCCCGACCTCGTGTCTCTGCTGCTCGAATGGTAGGTGGAGCCTGGCCGTGAGGCGGGTGCGGCCCTGGGCAGCATTCCATGGTACGGCAGGTCGGGAGTAGCTGTCGTGACTGGTGAACTGAAGACGGACATGGAGCCCACACCAGGATGGGGCGAACCCGTGTGCATCGCCGATGGCGGCGTCGTGGATCGATGTAGAGCCGGGCGTTCCCAGAACGAGGCCGCGATGTCGACGCTTCTCATATCGACACCGTGATGCGTGAGGTTGTGGTAGCCTCGGAAGGCCAGACCAGGATGGCGAGGAGGCATCAGCGCTGACAAGGAGCCTTGAGCCGGCACAGGCTGCCCAGATGCATCTGCGGAGGCCCCCGACAGCGGTGGCTGGTAGCTGCCTCTTCCGACCAAGGTGCTTCGCTCGATGCCGGACAGCGGCCTGGGGGAGCCGCAAGAGAAGCAGGTCGACCGTGCGGCAAAGTTGTGCGACGAGCAAGTCGGCGTAACACATTGCCAGTCTCTGCTGGTCAAGTCCGAGACTGGCGCAGAGCTGTAAGGCGTGGCGCGAGCGCCGAACGTGTCGAAGAGGGTATCGTGCGGCTCTGTGCTGAGACCGAGGGAGTTGTGGCCGAGGCCACCGTCTGCGCCCTGACTGTCACGGGCGGACTGCAAAGGCGCCTGGGCTTGGGCGGTGCGAACCGACTCGGTCTGCAGCAGGGAAAAGGGGTCGCGGATGATGGTGGCCGGAGCAGACTCGGTGCGCCCGTCTTGGCCCAGCTTGTGACCCAGCCATGACCCCAAGTCGTATCCTGGCGTTGGCGGATCGACAGTCGTGTGTACAGACAGCCGGGCCAGCTGGCCCGCGAGAGTTTGGCCCTCCGACTCGCCCAGTCCAAGGGCTCGTCGGACCGAAGGCGAGTAGGAGCGACAGAGCAAAGGCTCGTGCCTGTCGCCAAAGCTATCCTGCCTCGTCAGGTCTCGAGCTGCTGTGCCGAGGCTCCCAACGTCGACAGCAGAGCTCGTCTGAGGCTGCATTGAAAGGGGCGAACAAGCAGGGAAGCCGTTAGCGCAATTTAGTGGCAACCGCCGAATCATGGATGGATACAGGCCGACGTACCTTGGCAGGGAGAGTGTGGACCTGAGGCCTGGCAGCGACTGGCGGCGGCTGGGATGACGTGTCCGAAAGCCTGGCGCCGGAGCCAGTCTTGGTCGACTTGGAAGGGCCTGACTCGGTCGGAGCGTCCCCACCTGCTGCTGCCGCCTCTCCATCCTGCCGATGCGATGTCTGATCCACGCGACGCGTGGCATGAGCGCGCGTGTTCCCGCCCATTCGAAGCTCTTCATGACTGGAGTGTGTCATCAGCGGACGAGTTGGATGGCGGTGTGCTTGCTGGCCGGATGAGACGAAGAGGGAGGGTAGGAGGGAGAGAGAGGGAGAGCGAGCAAATGACGGCGGTTCAGGCCGGTCTTTATGAAGCCGGGGGTGGGTCGGTCACAGAAGAGGAAAAAAGGGGGAGAGTGGGGGTCAGACAACGAGGAGCTGCGTGCGGACGGCCTGACGAGTTTTACACGCCGTTCGCCCTCCTAGGGTTGATCGGGCATCGCACGGATGCCTTGCTTGCGCTTAATGAGCAGGGCGACGGTGCACTGTCGGCTCGTGCCGCGCGGTTGTCCACAAGAGCATGCGCCGACGGTCCGAGCGGTTCTGCCTGTACGGGCGCACTCACCACCTCGGAGGTCGCTCGGCGACGTGGGGCACGCGGTGGTGGGACGAGGCCTCGCCGCGGATGTCGGCGGAAGACGGACGCTGAAGGTCTCCTGGCTGGAAGCAGTCTCGGCTTGCACCTGCTCGCGCAGCGACTCGAGTGCCTGCTGAGTATGATGAATGGTGTCGAAGCGGTCCTCTCCAGCCCTACGCTTTCGCACGTCAAGGGAGGCGTCGCGGGCAGGCGCCAAGTGGTGGTGTTGCTCCATCTGCAGAATGCCTAGCTTAGCTCGCTTTTCCGCCCACGGGGCTAGCCAAACCTTGAGAGCGAGGATAGTGTTTCAGGCCAAGGAGGCAGGGCAAGAAACGCGCAGCCGCGGTGGGAAGGCAGCTCAATGAGCAGAGAGCGAGCCTTTGACGGAGACGACGACCTGCGCCGGCCTGCCGGATGTGCCGCCGATCGTGCCGTCCGTCAGAGAGATCCCCAACAACGCAAATTGAATGGTCTGCAGTGCGCTCGACGAAGGCTGACAGGATGAGGGAGAGGAAAAGCTCGACCGCTCTCGAGGTTTGAACTGCGGATGCAGCGGTACCACGATCTGCCCGGATTTACATGTGTCGACGCGGCGTTTGTGCAAAAGAGGTGAGCTTCGTGGCCTACGTGCAGCGGAGGTATCTGGCTGAGCTGTTTGAACACCAAGATAGACGCTCACAGGAGTAGAGTGGTCGAGGACTGATGTCAAGGAAGGCGGTTGTTCGACGGATGGATGTAGGAGCAGACGGTGGACGGGTTCGCGTCGGCACGCCGGAGAGGGGCGGTGCGGTGCGGTGCGGTGCAGAGAGGGGAAGCCGTGGGACGGGTGTGCCTTAAGTAGCGGACAGCCTTGCTTCTTGCTGGCATAGCGTCGAAGGGGACCGCTCACCGCGCTGGAAGCCGGCGAAGGTGCCATCATGGGCGTAGCTCCACCAAACGTGGCCAAGGAATAGCGTCTTGCCCCCACCATGCCACGCATCAAACCCCCTCGATTCTGTCTCTTTCCTTCCGCGCCAGCGTCCAGCAAGCGCCGAGGGCGTCGGTCACCCCGCCATCGCCTTTGTCTCATCCGATTGAGCACCAGATGCAACAACGGAGCCCAGCTATCTCCCATGCAACCCACACCGGGATCAAAATCGGTGGGTAGCGCACCGCCTCGCGCCCATGGGTGACCCGACGAGTGGCAGCCCGTTGTAGGCTAAGTAGCCCTGTTCGATCAGGAAAGTGCTTGCCGGCACGGCCCAGGTCGGAGGGTGGCGTAGGCGGTGGTTAGCGGCCAGCCGTCGGCCATACATGCAGACCAGAGGAGGTAGACAATGGTATGAACGGTATCGGGCTGCGCCCCTGTCACCGGTGGGTGCTCGGAGGGTCCGAGGCCCAGCACCGGCTCGGATCGGCTCATCCGCTGCATCCCGGCCACCGTACTCTGGCCACAGGGCCGCGCACCGCCCTGGCTCGTGTCGTAGAGCTACAAACATGTACCGCTGCGCCGATCCGTATGGGCTCGAGGCGTCTCAGCCCAGCAGCGGCGGCAGGCTGGCGTTCCCGTACTTTGACTGCGTCCTGGAGGTCGAGTTCAGAAAGGCCCATCAGATAGGCTCGGAGCGCGGCCGGGTAAGCCGACTGCCGCTAAAATCGCGCACCTCGTTGCCTTGCGCGCAACGTCGGCACGCCCGATCCCGTTCTTCCGTGCCTTCAGTCATCATCACGATGGCCGGGTGGTGGGCCGCCTCATGGCCAAGGCGAGCTGATCGATTCACGAGGCAATGCAGATCACCCTACGCGGCCGGATCGACCGAGGGCAGGGCGGCTCCGCCGAGCAAGCGCGGCAACGATCCACTGTTGCCTTATCGAGGCCCTTGGCTTGTGCAGTGAAGCCAGCGAGCGGGCGGGGAATCGACAAGATCCTTCTTCATGGCGGAGCCTGTGCCAGAATCCCCGGTGCGAGCCGCATCTACAGGTACAGGGGGATCCTGGGTGCGATTCGTCTCGTCGTGCAACCGTGGAGGCAAGACAGAGACGACAAAATTACGAACCGGAGCGATCGGCTGGAAGCATTCTCCGGGCCGATCCCAGCGCTGAGCGGAGCGCTGAGCGGGACGATAGGGGGCTGTCGCACCCAACGCGTTTGCTCGAGAGAGATCACAAGGGCTGAGGAGAGCTTGATGCCAGCCTTCGCCGAGTGATGGACAGTCAACCCGCACAAGACTTCTTTTCCGCGAAGCAAGTGGCAAGCTCTGCTGCCCAGGGCGACTATAGGAAGTACTGCGAGTTGACGCTTCCAGAAGGTATCGTCCGTTCTTGATCGGGCACTGGAAATGGTGGCGCGGCGGTAAGGCGGTAGCAGGCGTCAGGTCGGCGATCTTGCCCAGAGCAGGTGCACTCGTTGCGCAGCGACTCACCTGCCTCAAAGATTTTGAAGTTGCTCTGCGTGAATCGCCCGCCCGCCTCCTCGTCTGCTGCCTGAATCCCTTGATGGTCGCCAGAGGCGCCCGCTGCCGCTGCATCCGACAACTTGTCGCCCGAATCGATTGCCAGCAGATCGTCCACCTGGAATACTGACGCCACGTTGCCGCAGCGGTAGCAATAGTTGGGTGCGGACCATACGGTCACGATGTTGTTGTCGTGCATCAGTTTGCTGCAGGGAGGAAGGATATGGCATTGGTGGAACGTCAGCGGGGTTATGCCTTCCGCCTGGAGCCGGCGGGAGCGATCGTCACTCACTATCCCTCTTGCACCAACTGGTGCGCCCGCGCGATGAGCTCGAGGCCATTGACGTGGTTAAACTGCAACAGCGGCAAGGAATGTTGAGGGTAGACGGGGGTGAGGGACGGGTGAGTCAGCATCTTGCCCATCATTGTCGCTCATCACGCTGCTCCCACGACGTTTCAAGTCACTTCTTTTGTCACTGTGCCACCAAAGAGCCAACCGGCGCCTCTGGGGCTCACGCTCCAGGTGTCGATGTCGTCTGGATCTGACCACATCAGATCTGCCGGACAGCGCAGACGGAGACGGGGACGACGACGAAGATGGTCAGCCAGCATTGCATCGGCGAGTGCTTCGCGCGAGGTGCCTGGCAGCGGACTCACCGCAAAACGCTCCCTCATGTGGCACCTCCTGCGCCCTTGCGATGATCCTGATCTGGTCCAGAGTTCGGACATCCGGACTAAGGCCGCCGTGCACGCAGAGCACCCTCCCGTCGATGATCTGCAATGGTGCCACACGGGTCAGAAAGGCGGCATCGGTCAGGATCTGCGGAGCTACGAGAGAGCACGCTGGGAGCGGCCACCTACAGCAGCAAGGTTGAGGTAGTCGAAAACCTGGCAGCAGCTCTTCCAGACGTTGGCATTGCCGTACTTTCTCTGACACTCGTCTGACGGGTGGTGAGTGGGCGATCGGCGCGAGGGGCGGAAGGAGAGGACACGGATCTCAGGAAGGAGTGCGCGAGACCGGAGCTTGCTGCGTCCTAACGATGAATGTGCTCACCATAGAAACCATAGACCTGCGTGATCTGCCGACTCTCGTGGTTGCCTCTGAGCAGGGTGATGCGGTCCGGCCATCTGGGAAAGGCATCGGGCGAAGGAAGCGCGATGGCCGGCGGGTCAGACGATGGCGGGCCTGAACGGCCGAGCGCCTGTGGGCATGGAGAGTCGGCTCACCTTGCCTTGAGGGCCATCAGCAGCGAGAAAGTCTCCAAGCTGAAATATCCTCGATCAACAAAATCGCCCTGTCGAGTGGGTGCAAGGTTGCGGTCAGCTCCCGTCTCCTTTGCCACAGCACAGGGCAGAAACGAGCAGACGCATCGGACCGTGCTAGGTTGCGATGGATGCTGCTCACCATGAAGACATAAGACGTGTCTGGCGGCTCCCCGCCGACCCGGAAGAGCTCGAGGAGGTCCCAGAACTGGCCATGAATGTCGCCGCACACTGTGACGGGGCTCGAGACGGGCTGGATATTGCTCTCCTCCATGAGGATGGCCCGCACCATCTCGCAGAGCGCCTTGATGTCGGGTTCGGGCAGGTACTTGCACTGCCGAAGCTGGGCAATCCAGCTTTCTGGGTTGCCGATGGCCATGGTGGCGTTCTGCGCCGTGAGGGAAAGGGGGGTGGGGGGGGGGTTGGTTTGATGGTGGGAGCGCCGGGCGTCGCGATGATGAGGGGGTCAGAGGTGGTATGTCTCGTCGGAGAGGAGAGCCGTGGAGGTGTCACCGGGTGCAGCGAGGATGCGTGTGGATCAGTCGGAGGGACAGCGGGGGCGAGGCCGTCGCACAGAGGTGAAGCCAAGCCGAAGGCAGTTGAGAGGAGGTTCCGGGATCTGGCCGTGTGCAGAGCCTGAAAGAGCCAGCGAGATCGCGTTGGGCAGGGGGCGGTGGTCGGACGTCTGGCGGCAGGTGGCAGAAGAGAGAAATGTAGACGTAGGTGGTTGGCCGTTGTTCACCTCTGGGGAAGCTGGTGTAGGAAAGGACCCAGCGGCAGGCCGCCCGGCCGACCCCAGCCAGCCAACGAGCGGCACCGGCGCAGGGCGGCGTAGGGCGCGAAGGTCGTCTGTCCCAGCCTGGCCTGGCCTGGCCTGCAGGCGCTCGAAAACCCTTGCAGCGCTTGGGCCCAGCAGACGAGACGGCCGAGAGGTGGAGGTCGTCTGCCACAGGCCACCGCATCCTCGTCGTCCTCCATCATGGTGCCAGTGAGCTCCTTCGCTTCCCTATGATACCCGCGACGTGTCACTCCTCTCGCTCGACTCAAGCCCTCACAACGCTTTGGAATTGCCCGTCTACCCTGCGACACGCAACTCATGAGCCTCGGAAGCTGCCCCGCTATGATCCGTCGTCCCCTGCGCCAGCGCATCTGCCGTCGGGTGAGCCGGTACACCTGTCGGAGACGGGCCGAACCGCGTCGTGGCCAATCTCCAGAGGCCCGCCAGCAGGGCGCCGAGATCAGCAGATCGAGCTTCTGCTTCGTCCTCTCGAAATGCGCGCCGATGGCCCAGCGGCGGTCTGGCGCCCACCAGGCTACGCCTCGCCCGGGTTCGTGCCCTCGGCCTTGAGACGGGGGCGCTCCTCGGGCGGATGGGCCGTCATCTTCGCTGGGGGCATTCACCTTCGCTGGGGGCCCTTCTTTCCATCGCCACCGCCTATATAACCAGCCTCGCGCTCCAAGTCGCCTGCCCTTCCAGGGCACTTCACGCACGCCGCCAGGCTGACCTCACGACACGCACGTTGAGCTGTACACACCTCGCAACTCCTGCCGCCATGGAGTCTGTGGACGCGTCCGAGGGCGCCGGGTCTGGCGATACCCTGCTCTCGCTCTTTAGCCGCCACGCGGTAAGTCGTTCAAGGGTTCAAGCGCGCTCGCCGACTTGCGTAGCGAGGCTGAACAGAGATGCCCGGATGCTTCGCGAGGTCGAACCCAGTTCGGTGACATCGACTTTGGCGTTTCGGTCGCTGAGCGGGTGGATCCCAGGTCCATATTGCCGGACCCGGACGAGGATCTCGAGGGCCTCGGCGAAAAGACGGGCAGGATCGCCTCCCTGATCCTTGACCACCGTTCCATCGCCGGCGTCATGGGGATGCTGACCGAGGAAGGCGACAAGAGCCTCACCCACGAGAAGCTGGTGCTCAGCCAATCTTCGCCGCTCGAGAAGGTCCAGTGGAGAGCGTGGAAAGAGGGCTATAGGCTCCCGCCAATGCTGTGGTCAGAGTCGAGCATCGACCGTGAGGCGCGGCAGCAGTCCCAAGCCCCTGCACACCGCCAAATTGAGGCTGCTCAGCCGGCTGACGACGACTTCGCCACCTCGTGCAAGGTCGAGGCCCTCCGGGAGCTGTACGCCGACGAGCTCGAAGGACGCCATGGCACGCTCGAGGGCTCTCCTACGCCTCTGCCTCCGTCAGCATCGCCGCTCATCTCGCCGCACCCGTTGCCGCCACACGGACGAGGCCATGCCGAGTTCGCCGTGACGGCAGCCGACGTTCGCGGTTTTGAGGCTCGTTACCCGGAGCTCTGCCCTCTGCTGCGAGTCCAGGCCAAGATTGTCGCAAGCATGAGCAACACGGTGGCCAAAGAGCATCTCGGTGTTGAGTGCGAACTCCAAGAACGTCGCTGCGCCTTGCATCTCGTGCGAGCGTACGAGGAGCAGCTTCGCGTCGCCCTGGCTCGGTGAGTGCAGATTGCGGGAGCTCGCCTACCCCCTAAGCTCGCCTCGGTGCTCGAACGAGGGAGGAGACTGACCCCGAACATGTCCGTCATCATGCGTTGCTCGATTCTGGGCAGCATCCAGGCTCAGGTCGAGGTGGTTCGCCACAACTGTGAGGTGATCCGTTCGAGGGCCAACGCAATGTCCGCGCCCTTTGACGATGCCTTTGACGGCCACACGGCGCCCGAGCCTGTCAATTGGAGCGGCTCCGAGGCACGCTTGCGCAACCGTACCCGAGGAGAGCAGCGGGCCTCAAGGCCTGCTCACGCCGACGAGCAACAGCCCGGTCCCAGGCAGTCTCTCCGCCATGCTACTCCACAGCGCGAATTTGCCGGCCACGCGCAGGGTGTTGCCACTGCCAAGGAGGCAGACTTCGCTCCCGTCGGCGATACCAAGCCCAACGCAACCGTCCCTGTGGCGACTGGCTCGAGCGGCATCAAGAGGTTCTTCGGCGATGAAAACCGCGCGTCTCTGGCCAAGAGGTCCAGGTCGGTGGCGGACTCGAGAGCCCATCCTCACGGCGGTGGCGGCGACATGGGCCCGCCGGCGCCTCCCGCGGCCAGAGTCTTCCTGCGAGAGCGAGGGGCGGCAACCCCCGCGGCAGGATCACCGGCGTTCTTCGAGAGTGTCGAGCCTGTCAGCAGGGCCAGCGGCGGCGGCGCCGCGGCAGCAGACAAGGATCGCGGCACTGGGTTTGAAAGTAGCCCGCGTCCATCGTCCAGCAGGGCTAGGCAGATGGAACAGGACGACGGCGGAGTCGAGGGCCGCAAGGAGTGAGCCGCACGTCAAGCCAGGCGCCCAAAGACCGGGAAACGGCAGGATCGACCGTCAGAGCCACAAGAGAGGATGGTCAGAGGCGATGTTGCATGCGAGGACGGACGATACAAAGTACAGATGATGGGCAAGGGGCGAGAGCGGCAGTGAAGGGGTGGAAGTGTGGGCGGGTGGGCGGCCAAGGAAACGCGCGCGGCAGCGGCGAGGGTATCGCACGCAAGGCGACGCCGAGCCGAGCCGGGGCAAAGATCAAGTGGTTCAGGCGAGTCGCCGGAGATCTCAGACGGCGTCCTGAAGTGTCAAGGCAGTCGACGGGAAGGGAGGTCAGCCAAGCGGTCGAGGGCGAAGCAGGAGCGGTACGATGGGGCCGCCGCTACGACGAGCATCGACACCACCACCAAAGACTCACCTCGAGGACGAGACGGGGAACGACCTGCATGGCCATGAGTTCCTGGAAGAGGAGCTTGGTGGCGTAGGGGATGGTGAGCTTGACGACGTCCTTGGACGACTTGCAATACGAGCAGTAGCCGTTGTACCCGAGCATGCCGCAGCGCTGGCACGCGTGCACGATGAAGGCGTCGGAGCTGATCATGAGGCGCTCGAGGAGCAGCTGGGTGGCGCCGTAGCCGATGAGGCAGTCACGCTCCATCTCGCCGAGACGCAGACCGCCGTCGCGCGACCGTCCCTCGGTGGGCTGGCGGGTGAGGACCGCCCTGGGTCCACGGGCTCGGGCGTGCATCTTGTCCATGACCCTGCGCAGAGGGCGGGAGAGAGGGGCAAAGAGCAGAATGAGAATTGATGCGTGGAAGAACGGTTGGAGAAAGGGGAAAGATGCCGACTCAGTCATCGAGGGCCCTCACAGAAGGACCCTGTCGGCGCCACGGCCGGGTGAAACTCACATGTGCTTGAGCTTCTGATAGTAGATGGGGCCGGTGTAGGTGTAGCACTCGAGCGGCTGACCAGTGATTCCGCTGGTCAGCGTCTCCTTGCCGGCGTAGTTGTAGCCGTTTTCGATGAGGAGCCTCGACATGTCGTCGACCTTTGATCCTCCGAACGCGGTGCCGTACTGGAGCGTGCCGGTGATGACGCCAGCCTTGCCGGAAAGGAGCTCAATCATCTTGCCCACCGTCATGCGCGAGGGGAAGCCGTGCGGGTTCATGATGACGTCCGGATTGACGCCGCGGTCGGTGAAGGGCATGTCTTCCTGCTGCACGATCAGGCCGCAGACGCCCTTCTGCCCGTGCCGCGATGAGAACTTGTCTCCCAGCTCCGGCCGGCGCGTCTGCCGGATCAGAGCCTTGATCAGCGTCTGGTCCGAGTCCGTGTCCGTGATGAGCACCTGGTCAATGTAGCCGAATACTGGCGTCTTGTACGACAGCGGCGCGCTCTTGTACTGCACCGCCGCCGCATTCTGCGACATGGCGGCCGACGAGTTGTCGTTGGCGTTGACGGGCGTCTGCTTGTTGACGTAGACGTCGCCCTGGTCCACGCGCTCGCCCACACCAGCGATGCCGTCGGCCTGGAGAATCTCGTAGCGCTTCTGCTTCTTGCCGTTCTCGTCGACGGGCGCATCGGCCAGCCGGTCGTGCGTGCCGTTGGGGTACTTGCGGATCACGGTCGACGACTTTTTCATCACCTGGCACCGCCCGAAGCCGCGGTCGAGCGAGGCCTTGTTGAGGATGAGGGCGTCCTCGATATCGTAGCCCGAATAGCTCATCACCGCCACCATGGCGTTCTGCCCCGCAGGCAGCTTGTCGTACCCGATCAGCTCAATCGTCTTGGTCTTCACCATCGGCTGCTGAGGGTAGACCATGAGGTACAGCAGCGTGTCGATCCGGTTGAGCTGGTTGTAGGCGATGGCGCCGATGGCCTGCTTACCCATCGCGCATTGCTGCGGCGAGACGCAAGGAGGGAGCAGAAGGGCGACATGGGAGGGGATGCAACGGGCGATGCGAGAGACGGGGGAGGGGGAGAAGGTCAGCCCGGCCATCGAGGCATGGAGGCGGCAGAGGCGGAAAGCCACTCACGTAGGTGTTCCTCGGAGACTGATTGTGGTGCGGGTAGGGGATCAGGCCGGCGACGGCGCCAAGGATGGTGAACGGCTCGATCTCGAGGTGCGTCGTCTGCGGGATGATCTCGTTCTCGTAGAGCGCAATGTACGAGTCGTTTTCCTCGTTGACGTCGAGGTACTCGATCAGCCCGGCGGTGAGGAAGTCGTCAAAGCAGCGTGCGCCGGCCTTGAGCTCGCGGATGTGGTGGTCGGTGACCCGTGGCCGGTTGTTCTCGACGATGATCATGGGACGGCAGATGCGACCGCCGTCCGAGGCGATGTGGACCGTCTGGTGGTGGGTGTTTGTGTAGATGCTGACAAACTCCGAGATGCGGCCAGCGCGGCGCAGCTTGCGGAAGTTGTTGACGAAGCGGACGGGGAAGCGGGTGACGCCGAGCACGTTGCCATTGATGTAGACGATGTACGAGTCCGGGCGGTAGAGCTCGGCGCCGGTGACGAGGTTGATGTCCTCGACGCCGAGCGTGAACGCCATCTTGATGATGGGCTCCTCCTCGACGTCGGTGGTAATGTGGGTCATGAGCGCCAGGTTCTTGACCAGGCCGCACGCCTCTCCCTCTGGCGTGTCCGAGGGGCAGAGCATGCCCCACTGACTCGGTTGCAGCGCTCGCGGACCCGACACCTTTCTCGTCTTTTCGAACTGCGAGCTGATCCGCGTCATCATGCCGAGGGCGGCGATGTAGCTCAGCCGACTCAGGACGTGGGTGATGCCGGCGCGCTCCATCTTGAAACGCTTGAGGCTCCAGTTGCCCGTCGAGATGGCGCGCACAAAGCCCGAGGTGATGTAGTCGCCGTTGAAGTGGAACTGGTTGTAGGCGTCGAACTCGGCCGTACGGTTGGGCTTCTTGAGGACCTTGTCGATGTTCATCTTGAGGTCGGTGTTGAACTTCTTGAAGAGGTCCTCGAAGAGCAGCGACAAGAGCTGTCCGGCGAGCTCGAGGCGCTTGTTGCCGACATAGTCGCGGTCGTCGACCATGCTCTCGTCCTGCATGCACATCAGCACCCTCCGCACCATGGTGGCAATGTAGATTGCCTTTGGCCGGAAGTTGAGGCGCTCGACGGGCACGTGGGCCATGATGATGGTCGCCAGCACCTCGATGGCGTCCTCTGACAGCGGTCGGCGCACCGACATCGGCTTGCGCGACGACTTTGCACGCGCGCCGATATAGTCGAGCGCCTGCTTCCGGGTAAAGACGCCGAGCCGGGCGGCCTCCTCGAGGTTAGGCGCAAAGAGCTCGCGGTACGACTCGTCCTGGCCGGCCACCAGCTGAAGGATCTCGCGGTCGGATTGGATGCCCATGGCCTTGAGCGCGATGGCGATGGGGATGTCCTCGTGGAGCGAGTTGTGCTTGACGTAGATGTTGCCGTGCTTGGAGAGGACGTAGGACTTTGACTTGCGCTCGTGCGTCGAACTGGTCACCGAGGCCTGGACGTTCTTCTTGGGGTCGATCTCGACAATGATGCGGTTCTTGGAGAGCTGCTCCTGGACGAGGATGACCTTCTCGGTGCCCTTGACGACAAAGTACCCGCCGGGGTCGAGCGGGCACTCGTTCATCTTGGCGAGCTCCTTTTCGGTGCGGTTGGCCAGCACGCACTTGTTGCTGCGCAGCATGACGGGTATCCGCCCGATGGGCACGTTCTTCCTGCGCACAATCTTGCCGCCGCGGGTGTACTCGATGTTGACAAAGATGTGGGCGCTGTAGGTGATGTCGCGCAGCCGGCACTCGTGCGGCGTGATGGACCGGTCGATGGCGTCGGGATCGTTTCGCTGCGGTTCACCCACGACGATGTCGGTGTACTTGAGGTAGAACTTGGGGTCGATGTCGGAGGTGATCTTCTCGTTGGCCTTGATGATGTTCTTGAGGTCGACGTCGACAAAGTAGTTGTACGAGTCGATGTGCTGCTTGACGAGTCCTTTGACCTGGAGGTAGGCGGGGAGGAGCTGCCACTTGTCCTCGACGGCCTTGATGGGGTCCATGAGGCCCTTGCCCTTGTAGTTGGCCGCCTTGAGCGCGGCGATGGGGTCTTGGTTTGGATCCACTCCCATCCCGGTAGCGTGGGCGAGCTCTGCGATACTGCCTGGCATCTTCTGGATCCCCGTCGCCGGCGGCGCCATCTTTGTGTCTTCGTCGATACCGCTGCCCGGAGCGCCGCTTCTCGTTGCGCGTGTCATGGCTGATTCCAACTACGCCTCCTCGCGACCGATTGCGCCTGAGCGGATCAGCGGAACACCGGCAGCGATGTGGCGAGCAAGGAGCGTTGTGCGGAGAGAATAAGCGCGTTCGGAGCGGGGCCGAGAGGCCGTGACGGAGTGAGCGAGCGGCTAGTAGCGTTGTCGCCGGATGCGAGGCAGAGCGGAGCGGCTCTGGGATGGATGATTTTCGTCAAAGAGGTCGTTGCGATGCTGCTGAGATCCGAGCTGCGAAGCGGTGAGCGAGACTCGCAAGTGCAGCGAGAAATTTGATCGTCGCAGCGGGTGAGGTGAGGCGGGAGGTTGCGGTATGATGCGGCCGGCGAGGAGAGCAGGCGGGAGAGGGATAGGGGGGTGGCAAAGGAGCGAGAAGATGGTGAAGGAGGGCGAGGCCAGGCGAGGCCAAGCCAGACAAAGGCGGCCCGACTTTTTCGCCAGCCGAAGCCAACCAACCTCGAAAAATCCCCGATAGGCGGATCGGGGTGGCCTCGTGCCCAACCCCCGCTTGGACCTCCCTCCGCTGCCTCGAGGCGCAGGCGGCAGACCCTCCTCGCGGACCGACCTCGACCTGGCCCCCCCCTCCCCCTTTCCAGCCTCACCTTGACCTCTGACCGTCATCCAAGCTTGCTTGCGCCGCCCTCAACGTCAAGATTCGCCTCTCCTGCTTCAGCCCCTCTTTGCCAACTGCAGTCACTCCAATCGGCCCGCTTGCCTCCCAACCTCAGCTCTACGCCGCCGCCACCCTGACAAAGCGCTCGGCGCACTTGCCACACCTGCTCAGCCACAACTCTAGAGTGCAATATCGCTGCACGTGTCCTCAAATCAATCGCGCGCAGCTTTCAGGCTCATCTTTTCCCTTCTCGCGCCGCTTGATTCGATTCCACGGACGCCGTTCGCCAACGGCACCGGTCGCTAGCCAGCATGTCGTCGACTCCCACGGGCAACACTCTGCTCCTGAAGCGACAACTCACAGAACTTCGAAAGAGTGAGTCCCAGGCAGCTGCTGCGCTGCGTCTTTCCGCTCACAGAGACCCGTCAGCATGTCTCTCTGACGCCTGGCTCTGCCATTTCTGCTGCACCTCATCAGGGCCGGTCGACGGTTTCAGCGCCGGGCTCAAGGACGAGAGCAACTTGTTCGAGGTAAGCGTCTTGCCCTGCCGCAGTTCCTTCTTCTAGGTCTACCCTGTCAGTCTTCTGATGTGCGGCAACCCGCCTATGCTCTGTCGCACCACAGTGGGAGATCATGATCATCGGTCCGAACGGTAAGCGCCATCGTCCGGGTCCTACTCGCCGGGAGGGTCTGTCACGAGGTCGCTGACCGCCGCCGCCCTCTTTCCCATCTTCGCGCCGATCAGACACACTCTATGAGGGCGGCTTCCTGCGCGCAGAGCTCAACTTTCCACCTGTGAGTTCGAGGCCGTTGGTAGATCACCGTTCCGCATCGAGGCTGACAAATGTAACCCCTCCGGACTGCGGCGCATCTGCAACAGGAGTATCCGCTGCTTCCGCCAAAGATGAAGTTCATCACGCCGATGTGGCATCCGAACAGTGAGCTCGCCCTGAACGCTCTTGTCCCTCGGTCGTCGGCCGGTCCCTCGGATGGACATTGACCAGCTCCAACATCTCCCTCTTCGCCGCTCACTTCTGCAGTTTACGCCGACGGAACCGTCTGCATCTCGATTCTTGTACGTCGTGCCTGCGACATGGGACATCCGTCTGCGCAGACGCCGAATCAGGCCTCGCTCACAATCTGCGACCTTTCGCCCTTTTACTTCCGGACCCTCACAGCACGCTCCGGGCAAGGACGAGTACGGCTACGAAGACGCTGGCGAGAGGTGGCTGCCAGTCCACACGGTCGAGTCCATCGTGCGTTCCCCGCTGCTCGCACGGCCTAGGTCATTCGAAGCCTGCTGACCGGCGATCCCGTCTGCCTTTTCCTCCTCTTCGTGGCGAACGTCAACGCCACGCAGCTCCTTTCCGTCATCAGCCTACTGTCGGCCGACGTGCCCAACACGGATTCGCCGGCCAACATCGACGCCGCCAAGCAGGTTCGGGAGGACCTGCCCGGGTACAAGAAGAAGGTCCGACGGCTGGTGCGCCAGTCTGCTGAGGAGGCCTTTGACTGATCCCTGGTGCGCCGCCGCTCCGTGTTGGGCCGGCGCCATCGTCGGTGGTCTGCGCGTTCAGCCATCCTGACCTCCCCTGCTATCGGCTCGACCAAGCAAGCAAGCAAGCAAGCAAGCAAGCAAGCAAGCAAGCAAGCACATCGATACAAGCCTCGTCGGCCTCCATCTTCCCCCTTCCTCTAACCACTCGCTCGCTCGCATCCACGCTTCCCTGCCACCGCCACGTCTGTATCACCATCCTTCCGCGTCATCCAACGAGAAGCATCAGTCCCGCAGGCCACTCGGTCAGCATGGAAATCGGTGCGAGAGGACGGTGATACATTTCGGATACTAGTACAACCAATCGTAGGTTTGGGTCGCGTCGCACGGGAAGGCGAGTGGGCAGAGGAGGGAGGTGTTTGCAACGAGACGATGCCGGCTCGAAGCGAGGACGATTGGGGGGCGCGGCGATGGATCGAAGGTCAGGGGCTGGCGCGGGAATAAGTGGGAGCGGGCCGCCTTTGGCCTCGACCCGGGAACCCGGGCAGGCTATCGGCGCTCGGCCGATGTGCGATGGGGATGTCCATAGACGCGGGCTCGTCATCGATCTCCCATGGCGCCCAGGGAGCTCTTGTACGGGCTGCTGAAGTTGGGCGTGGGCAGTCCGGATCCGTTGCCTGGCCCATAGCCGGCAGAGATGGAGCGAGGTACAGCGTCGTGGAAGCTCTGAACGCTCGAGGGTCGGTTGTGCTGGTGATTCTGGGTCTGACTCTGGTTGTAGTGCACTGCACCGTTGAGGTGCGATGAGCTCGAAGAGAAGCCGTAGAGGCAGCCGCTGCGCGTGCGTGCGGCAAGGGTGGGAGCGGACACAGTGGAAGCCTTGTGTCAATCTCAGTGGTAGCCCCGGCGACTTCGCGCCGACACACCAGCGCCGTCCACTCACAGGTATTTGGAGTCGTCGATGGACCCGTCAAAGTACTTTTGCCGCATCTTGAAGAACGTCGTCGCCGTCAGCAGGCTGTCGCTGCCCGCCTGATGCTGTTGGCCGATGCGGCTGACCTGAAGGTCGTCGGCCACGTCCTGGAGGCCGCCTTTGAGCGTCTTGCAGCTGCGCATGAGGAACTTGATGTCGTAGATGCACGGGAACCAGATGCGAAGCAGCGCGAAGAAGTCGGCCTCCTGTGCCGGTAGCGGACTGCACGTCACCACCTTGAGGAGGTAGCCAAAGTCGTAGCCGCTGGAAGGGTTGTGGAAGGAGGGAGGGACCGAAGGAGATGATGCGATGCCGTGAGCCGCTGAGGATGGGTACCTTTGCCTCGCGAGCCGGGAGTCGATGCCAGCGTCACCTCACCTGTGGAACGAGACCCATTTGACGTCGTCAAAGAGCGCGAGCCCCGACGTGATGAGCAGCTCGCCAAAGTGCTCGACGTCGATGCCCATGCGCTCGTGTCGGTCGAAGTCGAGGCCCGCCTTTGTCAGAAGGTCGAGCGAATCCGGTGCGCACATGTCCTCGCTGAAGAGAGGCGGCGGTCGGACGCGAGGAGGGGCACGGTGCGGCGAGTCAGTTCTGGTCGCGCTGCGAATCGCATGGCGGCTCCGCCTGCTCGCTCACTTTACGCTGAAGCGAAAGTTGAACTGCCAAGTGCAGACTTCTGGGGGCAGGTTGCCATTCTCGTCGCAGAGGGTGATGCCGAGCTGGATGAGCTTGAGCAGGTCGACGTTGCACCTCAGGGTCTGGTAGTGGTAGTCGGACGAGCCCTTGAAGGTGCCAATGGGCCTCGCAACGATGCCAGGGAACTCGGTGTCCTAGCGAGGCGACCAGCAGGCCGTCGAGACGAGTGATAGGTGGGACCAACCCGGATCAGCCTCGGCAGGGTGGGCTCAGCTAGGGGCTGCTTCCATGACTTACCATGGCGACGTAGGGGTACTTGTCGATCGTCTCGCGCAGCAGCGCCATCTCTGACTCGAGGTTCTCGGCCCACACTTCTCTTATCCGCCCCGCCATGGTTGCCGTGGTTGGGCCGCAGGTGCACGGTGAGTGCGACAGAGGATGGCGCCGATGATGGCAGCGGATGTGGTTCCGAAGGGTGGCGGTGCAGCGATCTGGACAGGCTGTGCTGGCGTGGGCCTCGGGTCGGCTGCGCAAAGTCGGCGAGGGTGCGGAGCGGCCGAGGAGACGAGGGCCAAGGGCAGGGTTGGTAGCGATGCGGTTCTGTCGGCGCTGTTCCGACGAGCGACGGCGAGCGGTGGGGAGCGACGGGGATGGCCCTGTTGCGATTGCGATTGCGATGCGATGCGACGCGATGCGACGCTGCTGGGCTGCTTGGTCGTTCGGGATGGGCCGATGGTAGAGCAGCAGCGTAGGGCAGCGGAGGGGAGCCAAGGGTAGCTTGATGCGCGGGGTGAGGACAGACGTGAAGGTGGAGAGGCCAGGGCTAGAGGGCCAGGTGCGGACGGGCGAGCGCTCCGCTGCACATCACGGCCCAAGATGGCCCTGGCCTGGGCATGGCCACCTGGCTGGGCCACCCTAGCCTGCTGGCCCTGACCTGGCACGCCCCGCCACCAGTCACGGTGATCGGCGGATCCGAGCAGGCGAGGCACAGGCCGCGTAAATGTGCGCTGGCCCTGGCCCTACTCCACATCCCCCTCGGTCCTCTGTGGTAGCCCAGCCTGTGTGCGTTGCCTCTCTCCAACCTGGTTGCTGCACCATCCTCTGTCCTCATCGTCGCCTCCCCCCTCACCGCTACCACACCGCGTCCCTCTCTCATCGACCGTCCCGAGCATCAGCCTTCGTCACTTGGCTCGCTTACCCGCCCAGCCTCACCTAGATCCCCATAGCCGGCTCCAAACTCGTACGGACGGCCTCGAACCTGTCATCCTCCCGACACCTTCTCGAGCTCGCTGCCCAACATGGTCCTCGAAGCGACGATGCTAGTGTGAGTGCATGGCCCTTGACGCAGCCTGTGGAGTGATACTCGCTGGTCGTTCTCCTTGCTGACCCGCTGGCCCCCGTCGCCCCTGCCCGCAGGCTCGACAACTCGGAGTGGATGAGGAATGGCGACTACACGCCGTCCCGGTGGGAGGCCCAGTCTGACGCCGTCAACATGATCTTTGACGCAAAGACAAACTCCAATGCCGAGAGCGAGGTCGGGCTGATGACCATGGCAGGCAAGAGGTGAGTCGGGCTCCAGCGTCGGCCGAGTCGGACCGCAGCGAAAGTCCGGGCTGACGATGTGGTGCCACCCCCTGCCTCTACTTGCAGCCCCGAGGTTCTCGTCACGCTGACCCAGGACGTCGGAAAGATCCTGACCGCGCTGCACTCGACAAAGGTCGCCGGCACCTCGGACCTTCTTACCGGCATCAACGTCGCCTCGGTGGGTGTCCCCATCGGTCTCTGCGCCTCCTCGCAGCTCTATGCGCACCAAGTCGCTGACGCGCCGCTCTCTGTCCTGCCGTTCCCGGCGCTCCACCTGCACTCATCGACCCTCACCCGCAGCTCGCACTCAAGCATCGCCAAAACAAGAACCAGCGCCAGAGGGTCATTGTCTTTGTCGGCTCGCCCGTGGCAAACTCCGAGCAGGACCTTGTCAAGCTCGGCAAGCGGCTCAAAAAGAACAACGTGGCCGTCGACATTGTCAACTTTGGCGAGGACGAGGAAAACGAGGACAAGCTCTCGAAGTTCATCGAGGCCATCAACAGCGGCGACAACAGGTGAGTCGCCGCCAGGTTTCGCCAGCGTCATCAGCCACCTGATCCGCGCACTGACGCGCTGTTACCCCAACACGCCTCGTCGCGGGCAGCCACCTCCTGAGCATCCCGGCAGGTCCGCAGCTCCTCTCGGACATCATCCTGACCTCTCCAATCCTGCAAGAAGAGGGCGGCGAGAGCGGTGGTGCGGGCCCTTCGGGCAGCGGCGGCGGAGGAGGTGGAAACCAGTTCGAATTCGGCGTCGACCCCAGTATGGACCCCGAGTTGGCCATGGTGAGCACCACCACTTGCGCTGGCTCTAACCGCGCACGCCGCGCACGCCCTGCGCTCGCAGCATGCTGACCAGTTCCGCTTCCTCTGAACACTCCAGGCGCTCCGCATGTCGCTCGAGGAGGAGCAGGCGAGACAGCGCGCCGCCGAAAATGCCTCTGGCACCCAAGGGTCCACGCTGCCGACCGTGTCGGAGGGCGCCGAGAGCAGTGCCATCGCCGCCGTGGCGGCTCCGTCGGCCTCGACCGGCCTGGCAGGGTCCGGCTCCATGGTGGCGCACGGCGCCGAGGCCATCACGGGCGAGGGCGCCAACGCCGACGACGAGTCCGAAGAGGCGATGCTGCAAAAGGCCATCGCGCTCTCACAGGCCGGCGCAGGGGACGAGGACGTCGAAATGGCGGCGGCCGATCCGGACGCCGGCAAGGGATCGGGCAAGGCGGTCGTTGCCGGCCAGCACGAGGGCGACGAGGACGAGGAGATGGACGAGGACGAGGCCATCGCTCGTGCGATTGAGATGAGCCTGGCCGAGCGGGGCGAAGACGACGCCGACGCGGCCAAAAAGTGAGCCAAGCGACCCTCCCCGAGATCGCTTTGTTCTCTTTTTCCCCCATGCAATCAGCAAGTCCCTTTCATCCTCACGCGTCTCGGTGTGTACCCTTTGTTGCAATGGCCCGGCCGGGCCTGGCGGGGATGTGGGACAGTCGTGGCGGCAATGGACGGCAGCGGGAGGGCGCGAGGACGCGGCAGACCTGCGCCCCGCATCGTTCTCGATTTCCCGCGCCCAGCTCCGGTTGTCGACTTTTTTTTTTTTTCCCGCCGGCGCGTCGCTTGTGCCCGGACACGGCGAAGGGAGCACAAAGGGGTCAAACATCGTTGGACCGTCCCAGGCCAGGCGGCGTTGATCCGATCGTCCCTTTGATCGGCGCTCGACTAGCGATGACGGTACGCATGCTGGCAACCTTTGGTGACCGGATGCTAACGAGACGGCCCAGTCCTCAGATCGAAACCGCTCAGCCCACCACTCAAGGATCCACACAAGATGAAGCGAACAATGTAATGGAGAGGGAAGAAGCTGAAATTGAAGATTAAAGAGGCGGACGAGGGAACAGGCGGAGAGAGAGGGTAGCCGGCCGGTGGCTAGAGGGAGGAGGGGATTGGGATCGCGAGGGAGCGTTGAGCTGATTATTGCACAGCTACTGGGTGGTATGTTCGGGACGAGGTTCCAGGAGGAAATCGAAAGGAGGTACCAAGAGTATAGGGAGGCTCCACTACTCAGGACCGCGGCTGTAGATCGAGCTTCTGCTTCGACATGAAGGCACGACAGGCCAGGAGAATCAGCATACAGTTGTAGACGTGCAACAGCTGGACGGAGCATACTCACAGAGTCTCGTCGGTCTTCGACCAGCGAGGCCAGGGTCGCGAGATGAAGGGGCGGCGACGCGCCATCACCTTAGGCGATGGTGCAGAAAGAGCCGCGGTCCTGCCACTGCTGGCCGGGCTTGCGGATCTCGTAGTTGACCGGAGCCTCCTGGGTCTCGGCGGCGCCGACGACGGTAGGGGCAACAACGTTGAAGATGGCGTCCATTGTGATAGAGTGAGGGGGGTTTTGCTGGGGAAGCGAAGAAGTGTCGGGAAGCGAGGCTTTGAAGGTGTGTGAGAGAGGAGGATGTGTGAGTTGATGAGGAGCAGAGAACAACATCGGCACCGTCGCGAGTGGTATTTATCGTTCCGAGGCGGTGTCGAGACCACCCTAGCGGCTGTTCAAGGAGAGCCGCATCAGCGAGCGGCCCATCGACGGCGATCCCCTGGGCGACCCTTCTGGCGAACCGCGCTGTACGGAGGGAGGCTAGGTGCTTGCGCCCTGTCCTTCGCACACAGCCCTTCGCGACGACCTGGTGTACGGAGATGACAAAGGGGAGCGCGGGCGTGGTCAGGGCTCAAGGCAGGGGCGGTACCCGACCTCTCACGGCTCTCACCGGCGCAAGGACTCTCCACAACCAAGACGGCCCGGCACACCTCCCCCGCATGACTGTCATGCTCGATCCCGGCCATGTTGCCCATTATCTTGGCATTCACCTCTCAGTGCGGCAGCAGAGTGGCAGTCGTAACAGACTCACGCCTTCGATGAGATTGTCAGACAAAGGGGCAGTCCACACAAGACCCGCCGACGATCCGTGCCCCTTTGTGGCGTCTATCCTGGGCACGGTCTGGCGTGCTCTTAGCCGTTGTCTTCGTCGGACCCGGTCTGCCTGCGAATGTCGTTTTGTTGCCGAAAGACGGGAGGATTGGCGCGGGCACACGGCTGCGAGACTAATTGTCGGGATCGGTATCTCTGCTCTGGGACAAAGGGAACACCTTGACCGACGGACAAAGGGATTCTGCTTGGCTTGCGCTGTCGGGTCCGCACAGAACGACGACCTGGTCCTGAGCGCTGGCATGGACTCGTCGGAGCAAAGGGGTGCTATCCCTCGGGTGGCACCACGAATTTTAGCTCTCGCAGAGTCTCTTCACGCAGGAGCCACAGCGCCATGGGGGCTACGCGCCCAGTCAGCCCCGGGCGCGAGCGAGCAAATAAGATCCCTTTGTGGGCGCATCGTCTACCTATTCATGATTGTGGTAGTTCGAGCACGAGGAGAAAGGGACGTGCTACCTACAGACCGATACGTACCCATAGCAGCGTCAGCAGCGGTGGCGGCCGAGGACAGGGATTGCACGTGTCTGCCCATGCCTGCCGTCATGCACACAAAGAAAATTCAACAAGCGCCCTCAGGCAAGCTCGATGCCGTTCGTAGGGTTCCCTTTGTACCACCATCCGGCCACACTGCCTCGGTCCTCGTCCTCCGACGTGTCACCTTCCTCGGGCTCAATCAAGAAGAAATCTCCCCGGGCCCTCCTCCCTTTTTTTCTCCCCTTTGTCGGAGCGGCAGAATTTTCTCACGTCCAAAAAAAGCCCTTTGTGTGTCGGACAGGAGCCGCAATGGACACTGCGTTTTTGCCGGAGGCGTAACCATGGCCACCATGGTTGCGGCCCGTCAGGATCTTTCTGGGATCCGAGCTTTCTGAAGAGTCAATATATAGGGAAGCGCACACCGTGCGGAACGCTCCAGCACCTCGAAGCACCACCAACACTCTTCTACACATCATCGACAACGCGATGACCAATTATGCGCTGATCACCTTTTCGGCCCTGAGCTGCTTCCTCGTTCCGCTCCCATTCCCTTGGCACTGGCGGGCCAAAAATGTCGGCACCCTCAGCATGATGGCTTACTTGATTCTGAGCAACATCGACATCCTCGTCAACACTTCTGTATGGGCGCATTCCTTCGAAAACCTTGCGCCGGCATGGTGCGAGATTAGTGAGTCGAGATCGAAGACTGGCAGGGTTTCGCAACGAGACTGACCGAAGTTCTTTGCGGATGATACGGCTCCCCGCAGGTATCAGAATACGCCATCTCACGAACTTTGCCCTCCTATGCTGCAACCTGTGCATCGCTCGACGTCTCGAATCGATCGCGTCGACCAGAGAAGTCAGACTGACGGAGCAAGGCAGAAGAAGGCGTCTTCTCGTCGATCTCTTCATCACCGTCGGCCTCCCGATCGTGCACCTATCGCTCATGATCGTCAATCAAGGTCATCGATTTGACGTTCTCGAGGGCCGTGGCTGCTGGCCAAGCTACGTGCCAACAGCGGTTTATTTGGTTCTCGTGCTCCTGCCTTGGGTCTTCGTCTGCATCGCTTCACTCGTCTACAGCAGTGAGTGCGACAAGGCCGATTCGACGATGGAGCGCAGCGACTGATTCTTTCTCTGTCGCAATCAGTCCTTGCCTTTCGATGGTTCATCGTCCGTCGCAGACAATTCGCAGCGGTGTTGCAGTCCACCGCGTCGCATCTCAACAAATCGCGCTACCTTCGGATGATGATGTTCTCCATCGTCGACATCCTGTTTTTCTTCCCTCTTGTCATGGTCGTCTTCGTACGTCAGACCCAGATACCCGGAGGCCTCGCACCCTACAAGTCATGGGGCGACGTCCATTACGGCTTCGACCGAGTGTCGCTCTATCCCGCAGAGGCAATCGAGCTCAGGATGGGCTCTACTGTGGTTCTGGATCTTACTCGGTGGACATCGCCCATCAGCGGCATCTTCTTCTTTCTCATGTTCGGGCTGGGTGAGGAGGCCATCAAGACCTACAAGAGATTCTTTCAACGCATCGGATTGATGTCCGCAAAGACGAACCCGAAGGATACTTTCACTGTGTCGAAGTGAGTGGCTTTCTGGGACGCTGGTCACGCCAAGTCCTCGATCTGATTCGTATCGCTTCTTTTTCCCGATCCTAGGCTCGCAACCTTCAATGAACGTTCGAGGGCCGCCGACTGTGAATCCTTCGATCAATCGGAAGCGACCGAGAAGGGCTGGGCCTCGAAAAGCTCCCCTGAATCCGAGCGATTTGGCACTTCCGACATCGCCTCGGTGCAGAACATGGATCGCACTCTTGACGAAGGGCACGGAGTGAAGATCTCTGTCACACGTTCTGTATACCCTAGCAGCTAGCTTTGCCTTTGCGTCACGATCGATCAAAGACTGCACGGCGTCATCCCCCCATCGAAATCGTAACACGAAACCTTTGTCCGACAATAATATGAAACGTTGGAGCTGCTCTCCCAAGATGCTTTCGTCGCCACACGAGAAGTTCCAAGGCCTTGTAGAAGCGATGTGACGCCTCGGCGTTGATTCATGGATATCTGATCGGTTGCCTGTGGCTCTCTGTGACTGTCTCCCCGCTGCTGCGTGCACGTCTTCCTGAGCGGGAGTTGGTATTAGCCTTCTATGCGGAACACCAGGGAAAGTCAGATGTGCCGCGGTCGTCATCCGTGCCTTTGAGGTATGTGAGAGACTCTACGAGGAAGCCGGTCAAAGCCACTCGCTCTGCATCTGCTGCTTCCCTTTGTGCATGGGCTAGCGAGCAGTGTTGCTCCATTTCATGGCAATGTACTCGGATGTGCCAGCAAGCGGTCTCGGTCTCCCCTTTCACTTTCGTGGGATCTTTACAGTTCTGTCCCTTTGTTTAATGTGCGGTCGCGCGGTCTCTGATGCGTGAAGAAATACCGTGACATTCGCCTCTGGGGAGAAAGGGGAGGAAAAGGGAAGAGGGGGAGAGAGCGGCTTTGTAGCGAAGCAAGCAAAGGGCAGTCGTCGCGACCGGCGAGGGCGGGGGCTTGTAGCGGAACAAAGGGCATTTGTCGCGTGACGGCGGGGCCGCGGGCGTGACAAAGGGCAGCTACCGCCACCGGCCCTTTCTTCAACACCGTGGCATCTGTGGCCCTTTCATACAGCTGGAGCGTGGGCAAAATGTTGCTCAACGTGCAATCCCCTGTGGATGGGCGGGGGCCCACCCACGAAGCGATGCTTCGCAGTCTCAACGAGCGACCTCGTAGGACATTTCAGGTCTGCACGGTGCTCGCAAACGATATAAGGCGAGCACTCAAACAGGCAGATTGCTTCCTCGACATCGAACAACCAACAATCTCTTCTACAGCACCTACCTCTCTCTTACCCTCTCTCTCAGAGCTTCATCACCTTCGCACCTTTCTCACCATGGACGCCCTCTTCGCACCTTTCACCTCGGTCCAGGCTGTCTCCACTGAGCAGGCCCCGGTCAACAACGAGGATCCTAGCAAGACTGGACGCCCCTGGGGTGGTGCTTGCGTCGTTGCTTGATAGCATTCAACGTGAGTAGACGAGTAAGAGTGCTACCACCACTTTGTGGCTGTCACTCGATTCGAGACTGACCTGTGACTTTTGCGACGGAGCCGCCCTGTTACCATTTAGGCTCGCGAACGTACTCGGATCCCATGTCTATCCGTGCGGACCCCTCTTTCGAAGGCTGTATATCTTCCCCCTGACAAGCTCCTGACGAGGAGTCTGCCAGATCCTACAGCCACCAACCCTCCTTTCTGTCTGCGTTCCTGTCCCTCTCTAAATCTTAATTCCGGAGCCGGCTCATCTTCCACCCTTGATCGTCTGAAACTGAGTGTGGCCTACTAGGGCAGAGCCGTGTATTTGATGGGGTCGGAACACGCTTGATACTTTTACAAGCCCTTTTAAGATCGGCACGAAAGATGGTATGCTGGGTCGACTGCGGAGGTGCTTACTGCCGGCGAGTCGAGGTGCGGCATCGAAGCGGAATACACTTTCAGAGAGACTCGTGATCCCACCAGGCGAGGCGATAGATGGCCGGCCCACCAAGCAAGGTCGTGTCGACGGCGCAGGCTGGTTCTGGCTCTGCCTGATGGATCGTTGATGATGGTGTCAATTGACAGGACCCCAATACATTTCATGTCGAACCTGCCCCCCGCAACTGCGACATGTGCGAGAAGATGCCTGCGACAGATGCTAGATCCTTGAAGCCCGGGACCCGGCAATGGTGATTCCTAGATTTGCTGGCATCTGCCTCGAAAGAAGCTGCCGCCTGCCGCCCGCCTTGCGGTTTGCGCTTTTGAGCTTTAGACAACGCCAGGACGAAACCCCCTTCTCTCTTAGTCCGCCTTCGCCACCGACGACCGACCGGTCATGAGGCCCATCCACTTACTGACTCTGCCAGGCACACTTGGGGCCAACCATTGCTTCGCCTACGGCGCCAGGCGCACGCTCGCGGCCATGACGAGGAGCCCGGCCAACCTGGCAGCACCTGCAACGACGCCGGGAATGCCTCGGACGCTGTCTGCGTCGTCCTTGGTCGCTGCGCCGCGAGCGGAAGCGGTTCAAGCGGCAGCGCAGGAAGGGCCGATGCCGCATTCTCCGATCCCCATCTTCACCACCGTACAGCGGTATCGGCAGTGGCGAGCCGGAGCTGCAGCCCGCGGCGAGACCGTCGGCTTCGTCGCCACCATGGGCGCCCTTCACGAGGGCCATCTCAGCCTTGGTGAGCCTGAGCCAGTTTCGATGGGCGGCCGCTTCTTCGCTGTGGCATCGCTGGCTGACCAGCTCATGCTCCTCACGCCAACCTGCCACAGTGCAAGCCAGCCTCGAGGAAAACGACCACACTGTGGTCTCGATCTTTGTCAACCCGGCCCAGTTTGCACCCACCGAGGACCTCGCCTCGTACCCGCGCACGCTCGAAGCGGACATTGCCAAGCTCAGCCCGCTGCGCAGCGACCAGGGCCAACGCAAGGTCTCGGCCGCCTTTGTACCGACGGTGCCCGAGATGTACCCGAGCGGCTTTACGCAGATCGTCGAGGACCAGGTCGGCGCCTTTGTCGAGGTCAAGGGCCTCGGGCACCAGATGGAAGGTGGTAGCAGGCCCACGTTCTTCCGCGGTGTGGCGACGGTCGTCACCAAGCTCTTTCACATCGTCCAGGTGAGCCTCGTCGCCGTCGGGCGGCGGTGCAGTAGCGAGGCCAGCGCTGACGATGCAAGTGCGATGCCCGCCCACTCTCCCCGACAGCCCGACCGCACCTACTTCGGACAGAAGGACATCCAGCAGGCCATCATCCTGCGCAGACTCGTCAAGGATCTGCTGTTTGCCCACCCGCCCTCGCCAGAACATCTGCGGGTCATGCCAACGGGGCGCGACAATGAGACCGGCCTCGCGCTCAGCAGCCGGAACGCCTACCTGACGGCCGGCGGGCGCAAGGTGGCCCCGGTGCTGTACCGCGCTCTGTGCGAAGGACAAAGAACCTGGGACGCCTCGGCTGGAGAGCCCGCCGACGTGCGGGTGCGCACCACCTTGCGCAATGCCAGGGCCGTCGTCGAGGAGGAGGTCAAGAGGTGCCGGCAACAGGGCTCGGTCACGCTGGAGCTGGACTACATCTCGCTCAACAACCCAAACACGCTGGAGAACCTCGAAGAGGTCGTGGCGAAGCGCGGCGCAGAGGGCATCAAGGTGGAAGAGGGGGCGATCCTGAGCGGCGCTGCCCTGGTCAGCGAAGGAAAGGGCGGCAAGGTGACCCGGTTGATAGATAACGTCTTGCTGGGCTTCCGGCTGTAGAGGTTCGCGTCGAGAGACTTGTCCGCCTCTCAGTTCGGTTCCGAGCGGAGAGGGGAACCCCGGCGTGGCTGACCAATCGAAACGAGCCCCCCCTACTCCACATGCATGCTCGATGTCTGTCACCTGTGGCTCGTTGCTCACTTCCTTGCCTCTGGACAACCAACACCACCCTCTCCTCGACCTCGCCGGCAGCCGATCCTGCTAAGAGCGCCATCCTCAGCGGTCGACCTGCTCCTACATCACACGAGAGCTTTTCCTCCACAGCGCTCGCTACCCACGTCCTTTCCTGCGACCTTGGCCCCGCCGACAGACAGACGACAATGAGCGGATCTCCCTGGCCTCGTATGGTTGGCGCAGGAGTGGCAGTGATCGCGCTCGGCTACGGCATCATGAAGGGTACGTTGCGCTGCCTCGGACCCACCTAGACACTCACCGCCGGAGGGTGGTTCCCGCCTAGCACTCACACCGATCCCCGCCCCGGCCAACGGTCTGCTCTGGTGTTGTACCGCTGCTTCAGGTACCACACCGACCGACAAGCAGTTCTACGACGTGAGTACGCCTGACCAGACTCGGTACTGTCCAGGCGTGGAGGGAGACCCTCGCTGATCCCAACGCGCTTCAATCGTCTTCAACGCGAGGTAGAGTCTTTCTCCTGATCTGAAGCGGCAAGTGGACAACCAGCGCTCGGCGGCCGAACGCAAAGCCGCTTACCGCGAGCAACTGATGGTGAGCAAGTACTTTTCCGCACTCACCCCGTGCACTTCTGCGCTGACATGGCCCTGTTCGATGCTACAAACGGCCTTCGTTTCTGTGGGTGCTGTGGGTGCAGCGAGCCAAGGAAGGCGAGGACAACGGCCCGGTGTGGGCAGAGGCGGCCAAGGGCAGGGATAGTACGCCACCGCCACGGACGTGATCGTAGAACGCCTCAGAGCGCTCGAAATCCGAAGCCGCCCCTCTTCAACTCGGCGTCTTTATTCTCAGCAGAAAGCACCTTCGTCAAAAGATGTCTGGAACGGCAACGAATGTCGCAGGTTGAATCAAGTAGCATGCCACGAAGGCTAGATCAAAGTAACAGGGAAATGCCCTTCAAGCAGACTGCGCCAATTTTCGGCGCGCGAGGACAGCCTGGGTGATACGGAAGGCGGATGAGAGGCAGACCGAGAAGAATCAGCTAAAAGCCCGCTGGCGGGAAGGAACCAGGACGCGACCGGACCAATGCCGGGACCACTTACGGCGTTGAGCCTGTCGAGCATCTCGACAGTCGTGTCCCACCCGACGCAGCCGTCGGTAATCGAGACGCCGTACTTGAGCTCCTCGACCTTGCCGTTCTTGGGCTCGCCCTGCTTGCCCTCGTTGAGGTGAGATTCGATCATGACGCCGGTGATGGCCGTCTCGCCGGCCTCGAGCTGCTGGGCGACACTCTCAATCACCTTGGGCTGGTTGCGGTAGTCCTTGTTCGAGTTGCCGTGCGAGGCATCGACCATGATCGAGGGGAAGCGGTCGGGCATGGCCGCCTTGAGCTGCTCCTTGGACGACTTGATCGACTCGGGGTCGTAGTTGGTGCCCTTGGACCCGCCGCGGTGCACAATGTGGAGATCGGCGTTGCCGACCGTCTTGACGATGGCGGCGAGACCCTGGTTGGTGACGCCCATGAAGGCGTGCGGCTGCGACGATGCGCGGATGGCGTCGACCGCCACGGTGATGCCGCCGTCGGTGCCGTTCTTGAATCCGACGGGCATGGAAAGGCCGGAGACTGCGGGGAAAGGGAGGCAGCAAGCGCGAGGGGTGCCCGCAGCTTCGAGGTGAGCGCGGTCGTCGTGGACGCGGTCTGTGCTCTCGCGTCGCACACACTCACCGAGCTCTCGGTGCAGCTGCGACTCGGTCGTTCGGGCACCGATGGCGCCCCACGAGTAGAGGTCGGACATGTACTGCGGCGAGATGGTGTCGAGAACCTCGCAGGCAACCGGGACACCACTGGACGTGAGTTCGGAGAGCAAGCTGCGTGCGATCTGATTTCCGGGATGCGGTATGCCAAAGGCCGAAACGTCAGAAAGAAGGTCACGCAACACCGAGCTGGCCGCCGAGAGGGCCTCCGCGAGAGTACGTGCTTACCTTGAGCCCGCGGTTGATCTGGAAGCTGCCGTTGATGTCCGGATCGTTGATCAGGCCCTTCCAGCCGACTGTGGTCCGCGGCTCTGCAGAGGTCGAAGCGCGCATCGCCGCGGACGCCAGCGATGATAGAGGGGGATGTCAGCCTCTCCGTGGAGTGTCCTGATGGTGCCTCAGGAAAGCGGCTCGATCCTAGCTCCTGAACCTGCACTCACTCTCAAAGTAGGCACGCATGATGACGACGAGACCTTCTCCCCACTTTTCGTCGATGCCCTTCTTGAGCAGCGCCGCGTACTCCTTGGCCTGCTGGGGGTCGTGGATCGAGCAGGGGCCGACGACGACGAGGAGCCGGTCGTCGAGGCCATTGATGACGGCGCTCGAGAGGGCGCGCGCCTTTGCGATGGTCTTCTGGGATTCCGGCGAGGCGGGCAGCTCGTGCAGGAGGAGAGAGGGAGAGATGAGGGGCTCGAAGCCGGCGACGCGGACATCGTTGGCGTAGACGAAATCTTCGTCGCCCTTGTGGATCGACTTTGCGAGCGGGACGGCCGTCTGGCCGTTGGCGGTGTTGGCGGCGATGTTGGACATGGTCGAAGGACGTTCGAAGGGGTGCTGACGATGTCCGCCTAGTGATGGGCTACTACGACTGCGCGGGTGTTGCTGTTTAGTTGCACGAGAGGGCGGTGCAGGGTGGTCGCCGAGGTCACGATCCGGGTCTGAGCAGCTGATGATGGAGGGGCGCAAGATGGACAGCTAGAGTGCCTCGTCTAGCGCAGCGGTGTCGGTGGTGGTCGAAGAGCGGAGGCGGCGAGAGTGATGAGAGTAGTGATGGAGATGGTGAAGGAGGTTGACGATGCTCCTGTCGCCTTGAAGGCAGACTGGCCCAAGAAGAACCAGGCAGGCAGGCAGCGCCCGCACCACACCTACCTGCTGTTGCTCAAGCTCGCCTGCGTGAAACCCGCCCAACGCAAGAAAAAAATCAAACAAAATTGAGTCACAGCGCTGGCGGCCTCCCCTGGCCACGCAGACAGAACAGGAGGCCGGGTAGACGCACGGCTAGAGCGGCGGCGGCTGGCCAGGCCGGGCGCACACTCACGCACGTCGTCGTCAACCCTGCTGCTGCCTCGTTCTTCGCATGAACGCGTCCCGCGCCGTGTCCCGAGAGGGCGGCGTGCGTGGCTGCTACTCAGCGTCCCTGTAAGTCACGACAGAGCCGTCGTCGATCAGTAGTACGTGGAATCAAAGAAGGCGATGGCTGCGGCGTAGGCGTACGTGCGACCCAAGAAGGGTGGCATTATGATGGACGAGGGAGCGGCCTGGACCACGGCGGTGGAAGACCTGCGGCCACGCCACGGGCTCGGGGCGAAGGGCTGGCACGTTCCGAAGGAGAGCAGGGCCGGTCGGATCCCGACAACCAGAAGAGTCACCCACCCACCACACAGGCTGCCCGGACTCGGGCCCGCGAGACCTGCTGGACCCACACCTCGTCCCTGAGGCGATGCTACAGACGTCGGTATCGTGCCTAGGTTCGGTCCGCCACAGCAGCGCGAGCGAGCGGGTGATCCGACGACGAGCGAACTCGACCCTCGCCCGCTTCTTGGCTTGCTTGCTTGCTTGCTTGCTTGCCGCCTGCTTGCTTGCTTCTCCCGAGGCGAGTCGGTTGCAGGCCAGCCAGCAGCAGCAGCCACATCTTGCCTGGACCCTGCCTGCTGGCCCGAGAATTCGCCCGCGCGGCAGGCCAGCAGGCTGCTGGCTTGACCTGCCTGGCCACGCACGCCCCCGTCTCGGAGATTTTTGCCGGTGGCCCAGCAGCGGACTGCCTGGGCCTTAAGCTTGCTCCCCCGACAGCCGTTCGACGGCCCAGGCTCGGTCCATGCCCCATACAACACCATCCCTCGGGCTGCCTTGAGTTCTGAGGGTGGCGACAGGCAGCTTGCAGGGCTCCAGGAGGCCAGCGACAGGAGCTTCGAATGGTTGACGTCGAGACCCTGGTCGCCTTGACCTGGCTTCGAGATTGGGAAGACGCCCGACCCGGCCTGGCTGGCTGGCATCGGGCAGTCTTGAGATCGGGAGAAAACACCGACTTGTCCGGTTCCGATCCGCCAACCAGGCAGACGCTCCGGACGGGCCGCCGAGATGCGAGCGAGGCGCGACCCCGCATTCGCCAGGCTTTGAGCCGGCCTCGGGCTTCCAGCACGCTAAGCTGCGGACCCCCAACCTGGCTACAAACATACCCCACTCACCACCGCGGCCACCTATCCAACATGTCGTCGTACCGCAAAGTCGACCCCTCTGATCCTCGTCGGGCCGATCTGACGAGGCCTCTGCAGCTTCCAGCGGCGTGGAGGGAAAACGACCTCGACATGTATGGGTCCTTCCTCGGCGGCGCCTCGTGAGTCTTCCATCGGTCGTGGTGGACCTGCCGCGCGGTCACCCGGGCGTTCTGTAGTCGATGGCATGCTGACGATAGCTTCGCATCCCTTTTCTCTCGACGCAGGATGATGTCCGGAGCGGCCATGCTGACCCGCGCTCCGCAGATTGCCTACCTCGGCATGATCTTCGCCGTCGCCCACCTCGCCCACGACAAGCCATTCAAGTCTGAGAAGAACAAGGAGTCGCCATCGGGAGGGCCGTTGATGAGCCTGCTGTGGGTGTCTGCCGCAGGACCGGCCGTTTTTTGCGAGAAAGCGTCAGAGTTGGCCGCCGGGCTGACGCCTCTGCCCATTTGCTCTCTTTCGTATGCTCATCTCATCGCGGCAGCTTCTCCGCGATGGCTATGCTGGCTCTGATGGTTCCCAAGGTGAGGAGCATCGCACTGATCTCGTGCTCATCTCGGACAACCGCTGACCTCCTCTTCTCTATTGTCGACGCCACTGCGTAGATGGCTGTCAGCGACCCCCTCAATGTCGCCAAGGCTGCGGCCGGGTCGGCGTGAGGGCGCAGGACCGCCTGGCGCCGCGCCTGTCGTTGGTTCTGGATCGCAAGAATTGCAAGACAAGATATCTCAGGGCCAACAGTGTGCCGGATTGAGCGAGTCTGAGGCTTGAGTCTGCGAACAGCACGCCAGACATGCGAACACGCGCGGCTCCCACCCATGCCCGTGAACACGGCAATGCGGCACGACGGAGAATGGCGGCCGCCTTTGCAGAGAGAAGGCAGCGCTGCCGAAGGCGAGACGAGGGGCACAGGATGCCACCGGAGATGCTTGTGCTGAGAGACTAAAAGTACAGGTGAGGGAAGCTGAAGACAAGGACCCGGCGGAAGACCAAAGACGCAGCAGAGGCAGTAGTTGCAAGCGCGGCCGGCTACTTGTTCTTGGTCAGCCTGTAGGTGAACCTCTTCCTCGTTGGCGCGAACTCGCCGAGCTTGTGGCCGACCATCTCTTCCGTCACCGAGATGGGGATGTGGTGCTTGCCATTGTGCACGAGGAACTTGAGCCTGCGCGATAAGAGAGAGAGAAGAGACGTCGGCGACGATGATCAGCATTGTCGATCGGCAGAGAGGGGTTCACCCTTTCTCCTGGAGGCAGTGCGGTGCAAGCGTGACGACGCTGACGCGGTTATCCTGGACCGAGCTACAAGCCGTCATCGGGTGCTGGTGCCACGAGATCAGTTGCCTTTCACACGCATCGCAGAACTGTTCTGACGGGGGGGCCCATCAGCCTCGCGATGGAGCTTGACAGGCCGGCGAGGTAGTTGCGATGCGGCCAGCGCGGACACGATCGAGCCTGATGCTCAAAAGCCCAACGACGGACACTCACCCCACAAAGTTTGGCAGGATGGTGCAGCTCCTCGCGTTTGTTCGGATGGGCGTGTTGTTCTTGAGAGCCTCGGAGAGGTTCGGGAAGGCCACAAAGAACGGACCTGCGGGGGAGAATGCCGAGCGAACGAAGTGTCAGCCGCGTGCTTGGCCTCGCCGTGCCCTGATACGACGTTCTTCGACTCACCCTTCCACGCAGATCTTGCCCTGAGGACGGTTGAGGGCAGCATCGTGCTTGTCGTGTTGCGGCCAGTCCGAAGCTGAGGGATGCACGATTCTAGCGAGGCGCAAGGTCGGGATTGGTAGGAAGGTGCGGCGGCGGTACGGGTTGAGCGAGAAGGTGGAAGGTGTGACCTGACCAACCTCAAAATCCCCTCGCTCCGCCGCCGCTGACCGAGGCCCGAATCGAGAGCCAGGGAGGCGCGGATCCGAAAGGGGGCACAGGGGACACACGAAAGGATCTCTCCGGTGTGCGCGCGTGGCCTAAGACTGGCCTGGCCTGGGCTGGCCCCGGCAGCAACGGCGGCTTTTCGGACACAACGGCCGCGCCTGCGAGGCAGGCGCCTGGCTGGCTGTTGGGGGACGCATGGGCGTTTTGGGCCGGGCCTCAGA